TATATCTGTATATATATATATATATATATCCAGAGATACGCTTGCAAAGCAAACCACGCAAAGCAAAAATATATCAAGGTTACAATAGAATACATAAACAAACAATAAATCAGTATATTTGTCATAGCAACTATAAAACCATAGAAGATGACTAATATTTTAATATTATTTAACCTTAATAAATAATCCCAAGAAACTGAATCGGTAAGATATTGCTTGATTAAAAACTTCATCCGCTTCAAAAATATGCAAGTTGGAAACAACAGTTGACATATTTTAAGCTCTTAAATCTAGCTTTTTCTCTCTCAGCACTGTTTTATCTATTTTTATTCCTCACTTTCAATTTTTCATTGGCAACTTTACGTTTTTTTATATTTCAAATCACTTTTTTTTCTCATTCACATCTGACGAGTCTTGAAAACGTCCGCCTATTTTTTAACGCTTGAAACATGTCGACTGTTGTTTCCATGCAGTTAGAAACGAATGGATTTTTTAACCGAGTAATATTATTTGATCTGTTTGTATTTAAATCTGAATAGAACCTGTTTATATTTGAACCTGAAAACTTTTGAAAGAAAATTTAAGTTTTTTTTTTAAAGAAACTGGATTGATGTGTGAGGGGATACATATGAGCTGAATCTGTGTTAGCCTCTATAACTGCTCTTCAGGAAAGAAAAAGAACCTTACTCCGGAGAACTATTTAAACACATTGTTTTACACGAAATAGGTTTTCTGAAAATACTAAAAGAAAACGTCGGTTTCCGGAAAAGTTAATGTCTGAAATAAGAAAGGTGTGGCATTCATACCGGATTTCACGACGGCGTTTCCAACAATTTTCTCGGTTTAGAAGCGGCACATTGTGATATTATAGGCTAAAAATATTAATAATAAAAAAGGCAAAAGAACATTCTAAGCAAATTATATAATTTTGCAAACGTCAGAGTTCTTATTTTGTATTAATGTTATATCACGTAAAAATGTAAAGTGACGAAAAAGTTATTGAGAAAATATTTGACTTTTCTAATGTTTATGCGCAACAAAATCTAGGTGCGCAATGATGCAACACACAAAAACAATTAAAAGGGACAAATTGTTGATATTAATAATGTAAGACATTTCTGTTGAATGAATTCTGAATATCTGGTGAGCGTTATAAAGTTAATTTATAATGTGAAGAAAATTTTTTAAAAGTAAGCGTGAAATGATATATTTTTTCAGAATATTATAAAATAGTCATAATTTCATTGTTATTTTTACAGTTTTATAACCATCGTTGAACAGCCAATCCAATTTTGAGTTTGCGACTACCGACGTTCAATTCGTTAGTCTAGTAATTTTAACCCGATCCAGAAAACGAGGGAACTCCTGGATCAAGTATTGGGAAACATTTGCCATCGTGGTGGACTTTTTGGTTGAACTAACTCGCATTTGCTTTATACAGGGAGGTAAACCACGAAGACCTCCCACGGTTAACCCGTCGGCAAGGAGACTAACCCATGATCCGTTTACCACTGAGGATAATTTATGTCAGCACTGTGGTCGGTGCGAGCTAGATACCGAATTCAGTTCATATCAACCAGTCACAGCTGGGATTCGAATCTGAATCCTCTCATTAGATGCAAAAGCTCTATCCTTTGAGCAACCGTGGCTCAATTTCATTGTTATTAAAAATAATAAATAAAATACATTTGGGAAGGTGCATTTACGACGAAAAAGGTGGCGATCGGATGGCGACTGGCCTATAATTTTTCAATCAAATATATTATATTTAGTCGTGCTGTGGCCAGTGAAACCATTAACTTTGCGCTGTATAATGCACATTAATTTGAAGTCAATGCATTTTTGACTTAATAAAAACATTTTAAATTGATTGTGATTCAAATTAGTTTGGAGGAAAATAATGATTTGTTCGAGTCCGATTGAAATATTCAAGTGATCCAACTTAAATGATGCGAATTCGTTTCAATATGATAATTCCGATCACCGAATAAATTCAATGAATCATATCATGGTTTTGAATCTGCGAATCAGTTAACAATTCTCATTCTTAGAAGCTCATTTGCTGAGGAGAAGGGTATGATATGGCAAAATATCCAGTAATTAATATAACTTTTCTGCTGTTAAAAGATTAATCTAATTGATTCTACAGTATTAAAAACTAACTAAATGCATCAGAAGGAGTACCAATCTTTAATACCGATCGTTAAGGTTTAAATGAATTGAAATCTGTACTACAGTAAGTATTATACTTCTGCAAAAATTGTCTGTTTATTTAAATTTAGCATTTTGAAGGTGAATCGAACAAAGGCGTTGTTCACTGTGAAATTTTTCTTTCGAATTTTAAGTTTAAATCTGATAATTTTTTTCCTTAAAAGTTTTGGGATTCGGGAATGAATTACTGTAGTATATATTAGCTGTATTATATACTAAAATGTATGCAATTTTTATTCCAGCTGTTGTGTTCAGATTCAACTTTTTTTCCTTCATATATTTGGCATGCCTACTAGTAAATCCTTTACTTTCTGGTAAGATTCAGCTTGTTTTATTTGATCAGATATTAAAATCGTGTTCTGGAAGTAATTTTCAGACATTATTTATTTATCATTGAAAATTATGTTCATTTATAATTTTTCTTTTCATAAATATGATTATTTAGGTCGTGTACCCCTCTCCTTTACAACCAAAGGGAACTGTAGCAACAAATAAAAATGTATATTAATCCTTAAAATGAGGCTCGAAAACGTACTTTCCCTGAATAAACCCTTTATTTTATTATTTTAATTATGTTCCCGACGGTTTTGAATATTTTTATTTCCAAATTATAAAATTTTGGGCCTTTTAATGTTAAATATAATCTAAAATTATTTTAATAATTCAAACAAACTTGCCGATATAACATATAACGATAATTATATTACATAACGAATGAAGGACAAAATTTAAACAAAAAAAGTATTTTTTCATTTTAATTTCTCGAACTATTCTAAGTTTGAGAACTATTCTACTATAACAAATTTAGGATTTTGTAATTTGTAATTACAAAATATTTTGGTTCATTATTAGATAAAATAAGATAAATGATAATAAAGTAGTCTTTCATCATTAGATAAATAATAAGAGTATTTCAAGCTTTTCTTTTATTTCTTTTTGTATTAAATTATCCATAAATAAACAAGATCTGTAATTGATTGTTGAATTTTTTTCGTTTAAAAAATAACATTAAAAGTAAATTAGCATTAAGGAGCTAAATTTTTTGACCGCTCTCCTAACTTAATAATTTGGACCAAATTTTCCAGATAACGTTTACTTCCCATATTTTGTATTTCATAAAATCCAATTCTGTCAGAAAATCGTTTATTTATTCCAAGAAAGTACGTTTTTGTGCCAAATGAAAATATCGTCGACCCAAATAATTTTTTTGTTGTTTAGAACTGTTATTTATTTTAATGAATAGTTGGTGATTTATTATTTAAGTCTGAATTAAAATATCAGACTTTTCTGTAGCATGTATTTTTTATTAAGTTGAATCAGTTTTTTTTTATCATTAATCTATATTTTATTATATATATATTTTTTATCATTAATATATGTTAATACCGAAAAATTCCATTACATTCTTTAATCATAATTGTTTTTCATTCACTTAGCTGCATAATTCGCTAGTTTATACTTTAATTGAAGAAATATGTAACTATTTGTATAATTTTGCTCTATAGTTTTTAATATAATTAGAGAGTTAATACATAAATTAATAATTTTNTTTTTAAAAGCGCTATATGTTGAGCCACCTCACCATGTGACATTTTTAGCAGCAATGATTGGTCGATTTTCTAGCGTTGCCATTCGGAGAGTTGTAATGAGGCATTTTTTTTATCGCCGTGTAAGAGAAATATATATATAGATTATAATTTTAGACAGGAAGATTTTTGATAGTAAAGTGACGTCTATAATTGATGTCACGCTTGTAGGGAAGAGAAGGGGCTCTTGAAATTGTGACAAGAAGGAGAAAGAGGGTAGGGTACTTGTGGCATCACATATTTTAGTCAAAATTAGTAAACTTCAGATTTAAAAAATGAAATTTGAGTTGATCTTTAGCTTAGTTCTGTATCTGAACTGCTAGTATATGGTTATATAACATAGGGCAGTGTTTCCCAAAGTGTGGTACGAGTGCTCCCAGGGGTACGGGAACAGTTTAGCGGGGATACGCGTTCTTATGCGAAATATCTTGAAGCAAACGAAAATTTCACAAAATTTTATTTAAAAACAAAGCTAGCCATGAAAATTTACCATTACGTATTTTTCTATTGGCTATTTTTTTGCAGAGTTAACAGTTAATAATTAGGGGTATCAACAGCCAGTTGTGATTTTTAACTTTTGGGCAATTTTTTTACAGTAAAAAATACATTCATTTCAGTGGTACACAGCGTTATGAAAAATTTAGAAAGGGTACACAAAAATACATAAGTTTGGGAAACACTGACATAGAGTGACATGTCTCAAAGTGGTAGAGTGAAGGTAATGATTTGTGACAAAGAATAGGAGAGGTTCAAAGTATTGGAAAAAAAAGTGTGACATTATTTATGGACATTCAAATTAGAAGTCATGGATTTTAACATTGTTTTCAACCTTTACCAACTTTGTTCCTTGACCACAATTAATTGAAAAGGAATCTGCTGTTTCGCTCTTAATCTTATGCAAAGTATATTTTTAAAATAGATTTTGCATTTACTTTACAGGTCCATCACCACGTTACCTCAAATCAGTCATTGGACTAAGCACAGCATTTTGTATATGTCATGTCATATTTCAAACTGTCATGCTCAGTTTGGGAGATTATGGACATTTTTTAGACTACTGTAAGTAAACTGTTTTAATTAAAACTATATTTACTTTAATCTATTACTTAAAATTCAGTAATATTTTCACCACATAATGGAATTACTTTGTAATAATTTTATGCCGAAAAAACATAAAAGTAAATTTTGCTTTTTTACTTGAAACATTTTCTTAAATTGTGTTAAGTTTTAACACATATTTTTCAAAAATGAAACCAAAATCAATTAAAAATAGAGGGATTGAAATTTATAGGTTGCTGCGTTTTGCTTAAGAAACCAGATTCTATTTTTACCGAATTTCAAGATTAGTTACAAAGTTAGGCTACAGATGACGCTACTGAATTTCTGCATCTTTAAAAACAACAAATTTACTGTTGTTGCACATCAGACTATTGCATCTGAAATATTTGCATGTTCTGTTTTTTAACTGTGCAATGTTGTAGATTAAAATGATAGTTATTTTGAAAAAACTGTTTTACTGGTTTTGTTTTCAGTTAGCAGCGACATCTGATGACTAGCTTTGGTAAAAATAAATAATATGGTGCCCCAAATAGAATGCAGTGTGCCATATAGCTGTTTCTTTTCCGTTTATCTTAATTCCATATTCTTGTTCTAAAATCTGCAATATCTTGTATGCTGAATAGCGTATAGAAGTTCGCTTAGTAGAAACCTGAGAATGTTGTCTTCTTATGAATAATTTGCATTGTTCTCTTAATAAAGTGTTAGAGGACTAATGTTTAAAATAATGTAGAGAAGATGGCAAATCAAAAGATTGTATGTTGTGCCAATGTTCTCAAATGAAGTAAAACGGCTGTTGAAAGTTTTTAACATTAAAATGTGGATTGGTAACATTATAGGTATTATCAAAAGTCAGTAATCAAAGGGATTAGCCTAGCTAATAGTCTGCATTTAATAAATCAAAGATAATTAAACATAACACTGATATATTAATGACATTTGCCAATTTAACGAAATCTGGATGTTACCACAATACTTCAACATCAATAAAAATTGAAAATATTACACTTTTATCTGTATTTTAATAAATTGAGCAGGTCCAAAATATTTAAACGGGCACTCATTTAATTTTTAGTTTGTGAGTCAAGTACAGTCCATGAATTGAGTTATCTAGCTACTATAATTTATTTTTTAATTATACAGGGGTAGAAGTATGAAAATTTTTTCTGTAAAATATTTTGTCTAGTTTATTTATAAATTTTTTTTTTTTGCTTATTGTATAGGTGATTGGAAAGGGAGGCTGTTTGCAGTGTTCGGTTTTCATCGCTTTGACAAAGTAAAAGTTGTGGACGCCATTCGCATCATCGGACTTGATTTCCTAGTGTTGCTTTCTGCAGTGGGAGTCCTCATTGCTATAGAAAAACTTCAAACTGCTCAACAAACTCCTGATAATCAAGAAGTACCTGAAAGTGATGTGATACGAAGACCTGTGAGGAAGCGTAAAAAAAAGAAATCAGAAGTGTTATTTTGGGCAGGAGAAACTTGCGTATTATTTCTTTTAGCGGGAGCTGGAATTTTATATCCGTCTCTATCTTCAGCAGTATATTTTTTGGTTTTTTTAACTGTGTGCACGTGGCTTTCATGTAATCTAAAAATTGGTAGAAAGTATTTATTGACTAAAATTCCACTACTAATTTATTGTGCTCTTCATTTTGTTGTTATTTATATTTATCAAGTCGACTATGTTCAAGAATATGTCCCACCTGATAGTTTAACGGCCAGGTATGTATAGTTTGGACCTTTTCTTATTTACTATATTTGTATTTTATGTATTATAGTTTTTTTATTCACTTTTATTAAGTGTAAGTAGGTTGAAACCAATTGTTCGACCAATGTTTGACAGTTTAAACTTTCAAATAAAAAATTTTTTTTAATACGATAAAACAAAAGATAGAATAAAGTAAGAATAAGAAAAAGTTGGAGAATAGTACGTATAGATTTTTGACGTGTTAGATTTTTCATATATATATATATACATATATAAAAGAAAATCTGGTATTATTTATAAACACTATTATTTTAAAATCATACTATTTTTAAAAATTATATTTTAAATTTTTAAAATTATTTTGTAGTTTTCTGAAGTTTTTTTATTTGTTAAAATGTTTCACTTTAATAATTTTTGACATTCTTTTTTCAGTATTGCTTTCCCTATAGTTTGTTTGATTGAGTTGAGCTTATGTGTAATGTAATCGAGATGTAATGTGTTTTCAAAATGTGATGGTTTCATTTAAAACAAACTATTTTGGAATGTTTAAGCTCTGAATTGGAATTTTCTTTATAAATTCACTTTTAAAATTGTTATTTAATGTAAGGCTGTTTTTATTTTTCTTAAATCCTTTTCAGGAATTATTTAATTGAGTGGGCAAGTTCTGTGTCATAAAGTCAGTTTTTTGAAATTTTTTTAAAATTTTACGTGGATGACTGAAATATCAGCTGTATTCCGTAAAAAAAATTGGATAAAAAGTTAAGAATTTGCTTTTTTAGTTACATTGAACCGAAACTTCCAAGGAGTCCTCGTGATCTTTCCTATTTTTTTCTTTTCTAACTTCATTCACAGTTTTATATGATTTTGCTATATTAATGATGCTATATTAATGATGCAGATTTTGCCTTTTGATGCAGAAGGGACACTTTTATATATTTTTTACGCACATTCTAATTACAAAATATATTTTGATATTTTTTTAACTATAACGCAGTCTAATTGTTAGTAAAAAAATTCTGTCTGATCATCGGAATCATATTTGTACCATAAAATATAAAAAAAGTAGCTTGATAATTGTTTTTTTTTTCATTCAAATTCAAAAATTTAACAATAATTGATTTTGTAAATTAAAGAAATTTCAATGATGAATAACTGTTTCTCTTCAAATTTGAAAAATAATTGTTTGAAATTTTGAACACTTTGAAAAATGTTTGGAAAATTTTACCTTTAATGCAGAAAAAGACACCGGTGTTACATGCTATATTTTTATAACTATTAATTATTAAAGTGCTAAATATAATATTTTCTACTTTTTTTGACTATAATAATAAAAAATAATGAAAAAAAAATTTGTGAAATATATTTAATAAAAATTCTGATTCTAAGGGTTAACACTGTCTATGTGTAGTGCAGTATGGTGAATTATGGCTTCCAAGCCATTGGATGCAACTATATTCTTTTAACTTTTCTTAGAAATTGGATCTTAGAATCTAAATTTTACATCTCTTTCCTTATTAAGCTTATCAAAAATTACATAATGTAAGAAGTTCGTTCGTGTGACATGAATTTCTCTTAATATTAAAAATACAGTTTATAGAAACTGAATATTTTGAGTTATATCTCTATATTTAACTATTAAATGCTCTAAAAAATTTATTTGCATTCTGTTTCTAACTTAATCATCATTTAAAGATGTCATTGCTTTTAAGATTTTATGTCCCTTTTGCTAGTCGCATTTATGTTCAAATAACTTTTTGTTCACTTGTCTTTTAGTTCTTACTGGATTCTTCTAATTTTTAGGCTACTTGGTCTTCCTGATTTCGTTCTTCAGAATTGCACCAATGATCCTCGCACCCTAGTCTTCCAAGATCATTCCTGGACTTTGTATGCTAGTCCATTTTTCATTCTAGGACTGTATTGTCTGTTAGCATTAATTATTAGAAAGCAGCTCATATCTCCTGTAAGTGTCATTACACATAAAATTTATTAATATTTTTTCAAAAATTCTGGGGAGCTCAGCTCACTTGGTTCACCAATCCAAATAATTGCTTCACATTAATTTTTATTTCTTGAAACAGACAGTTATTTAAAATTAATATCATTTCATTGAAAGGCCCCGAAATTTTTTATTCAAATAGAAAATTTATTCAACATATTTAGTTTCCAAATCTATTGAGATAAAATTTAAACCTAATAAATTTGTTTTGGTTACTATTGCCATTTCATCCACAAATTTATTTTTGAAATTGTTATTTAATTCTTGGTTATTTTAAAAACTGATTTAACACTTTTTTCCAAAGATATTATTTAACAATAGGGCAAAAAGTTATTCATTATATTGCTGTATAATTTTAAATAGTTATTTTCATTGATTAATTTTAATTGCATATTTGGTTTTACATAGTTTAACTTTAAATAAATTTTAAAAATTAATGAAACATATTAGAAACAAAATATAACTTTTTTAATGTTTTTAAAATAATTTGTAATATTTTTATTAACTAGTATAATAAGACGGCTAATATCTTTGCCATAATAAGGTAATATTATGCGATTATTTTATATTATAATAAAAAAATAGTCATGAATGACATTTTTACTTTTCGTATGATTTATGAACTTACTCGCATTTGCGTTAAATGGAGAGGGAAACCACGAAGATCTCCCACTGTTAGCCTGACAGCAAGAGGAATATAACCCATGATCCATCTACCATTGAGGATATTTTATGTCAGCACTCTGGAATTCGTATCGACCAGACATTGCTGGGATTCGAACCCAGTTCACCTAAATTGAAGGTGAATGCTCTATCACCTGAGCCACCACAGCTCTTAATATGTTATTGTAGCAAAGAATAGTACTACGTGATTCAAAACTGCATTCAAATTGGAAATAACAGTCTACATGTATCAAGCGCTCAAAAACAGACGCCCATTTTCAAGATGACATGAATGAGAAAAAACAAAAGTGATTTTAAATATAAATTATAATGTTGCCGATGAAAAATTAAGGCGAGAAACAAAACTAGAAAAATCACAGTAGCTCAGAGAGAAAAAAGAAAAAAATTAAAAGAAAAACCAACAAGAAAAGCCACAGTGACCCAAATACATTTCTATGTGCTATCAACAGATGTTGAGAAACTAGTGTCGTAACAAGAGAATCAGCAATCATATGAATAAAACAAGATTCCAGGGCATCAAGATGAGTTCATGTGATCGAGGTGAAAATAATTTTGGTATTGTTGAAACTAAACTTATGCCCAAGATGGCAACAATGTGCAACAATTGATGATTTCTAGCATTCTTGATAATGGAGTTGATGTGACTCAGGTGGAAATAATATTGACATTGTCAAAACTGAATCTGAAATCTGTCGATTCATTTTAAACGGAATAGTATTAAGAAGAGATGCTGAGCAAATTATTATTGTTTAATGTTTAAATATAGTTAGAGAAAGAATAATTAAATAATTTGCTGTTAAATACCTTTGTAACTTTTATTAATTTTGTATTTATGACAACACAAGGAGTTTGAAATATATATCATCATATATGATTTTTATGTCTAAGAATGCTTAAAATGGTGATCATCATCAAAGGATTTGTATTTGTAGGTAAATTTTGTATTTAATAATCAGAAATAATCAAGTAAATTGGTGAACTTTTTAAAATTTTTTTATTTTGTTGATATTTTTTAATTAAAAATATTGTAAAAGTATCTATGCTTCATGTTTAATGAACTCAATTATTTTATAGCCTGTTGATGAATCAAAATATGAGCCTTGTATGTCAAGAGTTGATTCTAAGCAAAGCTCTCAGTATTCTCAGGGTAGTGTGCGTCGAAGAAAACAATCAAGAAGAACTACTAGAAGCGTATGTTTAAATAAATTTTTATTGGTCTTTCAATAATCCAATTACTGATTTTTTTTGTTTTTGATCTAGTTTTTTTTTTGAAGTTTTATAATTTAAATTTTAAAATGGATGTTTAATATTTATTTCTGCAATAATTCTTTGCTAATTTTGTTCATATGTTTAATTTTTAATTTCATTTAACAAGGAATGTACTCAAAGTGTCACTCTTAAGTCACACTGAATTTTTTTACGAAGTTTTTTTTGTAAAAAATTAGTATAGATAATTAGTAAAGAATTAGTATACATTTCTATTCTATACTTTCTTCTGTGTACACAATGTTTTCGTTACTTTAAATTAGTAATTGTTATAATTAAAAGTATCTTAAAGAAAAATATTAGTACTAGGGAAGTTTGTCACAGAAAGTCTGAAAAAATTCTGCCACAGAGGGGCTAACACACTTTTTAAATAATTAAAAAAATACCTGAAATTTGATCAAGGAAAAAACGTATATAGGAAACATACATCACCAGAATGTTATCNTAATTTGTTTTTTTTTTCATTCAAATTCAAAAATTTAACAATAATTGATTTTGTAAATTAAAGAAATTTCAATGATGAATAACTGTTTCTCTTCAAATTTGAAAAATAATTGTTTGAAATTTTGAACACTTTGAAAAATGTTTGGAAAATTTTACCTTTAATGCAGAAAAAGACACCGGTGTTTCATGCTATATTTTTATAACTATTAATTATTAAAGTGCTAAATATAATATTTTCTACTTTTTTTGACTATAATAATAAAAAATAATGAAAAAAAAATTTGTGAAATATATTTAATAAAAATTCTGATTCTAAGGGTTAACACTGTCTATGTGTAGTGCAGTATGGTGAATTATGGCTTCCAAGCCATTGGATGCAACTATATTCTTTTAACTTTTCTTAGAAATTGGATCTTAGAATCTAAATTTTACATCTCTTTCCTTATTAAGTTTATCAAAAATTACATAATGTAAGAAGTTTGTTCGTGTGACATGTATTTCTCTTAATATTAAAAATAAAGTTTATAGAAACTGAATATTTTGTGCTATATCTCTATATTTAACTATTAAATGCTTTAAAAAAAATTTATTTGCATTCTGTTTCTAACTTAATCGTCATTTAAAGATGTCATTACTTTTAAGATTTTATGTCCCTTTTGCTAGTCGCATTTATGTTCAAATAACTTTTTGTTCACTTGTCTTTTAGTTCTTACTGGATTCTTCTAATTTTTAGGCTACTTGGTCTTCCTGATTTCGTTCTTCAGAATTGCACCAATGATCCTCGCACCCTAGTCTTCCAAGATCATTCCTGGACTTTGTATGCTAGTCCATTTTTCATTCTAGGACTGTATTGTCTGTTAGCATTAATTATTAGAAAGCAGCTCATATCTCCTGTAAGTGTCATTACTCATAAAATTTATTAATATTTTTTCAAAAATTCTGGGGAGATCAGCTCACCAATCCATATAATTACTTCACATTAATTTTTATTTCTTGAAACAGACAGTTAATTAAAATTAATGTCATTCCATTGAAAGGCCCCCAAATTTTTTATTGTAAAAGAAAATTGATTCAACATATTTAGTTTCCAAATCTATTGGGATAAAATTTAAACCTAATAAATTTTTTTTTGGTTACTATTGCTATTTCATCCACAAATTTATTTTTGAAATTGTTATTTAATTCTTGGTTATTTTAAAATGTGATTTGACACTTTTTTCAAAAGATATTATTTAACAATAGGGCAAAAAGTTATTCGTTATATTGCTGTATAGTTTTAAATAGTTATTTTCATTGATTAATTTTAATTGCATAGGTTGGCTTTAGAAAGTTTAACTTTAAATAAATTTTAAAAATTAATGAAACATATTAGAAACAAAATATAACTTTTTTAATGTTTTTAAAATAATTTGTAAAATATTTTTATTAACTAGTATAATAAGACGGCTAATATCATATCATATTATAATAAAAAAATAGTCATGAATGACATTTTTACTTTTCGTATGATTTATAACTTATTCGCATTTGCGTTAAATGGAGAGGGAAACGACGAAAATCTCCCACTGTTAGTCTGACAGCAAGAGAAATATAACCCATGATCCATCTACCACTGAGGATATTTTATGTCAGCACTCTGGTCATTGGAAGTCGGGTGTGGAATTCGTATCGATCAGACATTGCTGGGATTCGAACCCAGTTCACCTAAATTGAAAGTGAATGCTCTATCACCTGAGCCACCACAGCTCTTAATATGTTATTATAGCAAAGAATAGTACTACGCGATTCAAAACTACATTCAAATTGGAAATAACAGTCTACATGTATCAAGCGCTCAAAAACAGACGCCCATTTTCAAGATGACATGAATGAGAAAAAACAAAAGTGATTTTAAATATAAATCATAATGTTGCCGATGAAAAATTAAGGTGAGAAACAAAACTAGAAAAATCACAGTAGCTCAGAGAGAAAAGAGAAAAAAATTAAACAAAAACCCAACATGAAAAGCCACAGTGGCCAAGAGGGGCAAAACAGAGTGAAATGCATTTCCATGTGCTATGGACAGGTGTTGAGAAACTAGTGTCGTAACAAGAGAATCAGCAGTCATATGAATACAACAAGATTCCAGGACATCAAGATGAGTTGATGTGGTCGAGGTGAAAATAATTTTGGTATTGTTGAAGCTGAACTTATGCCCAAGATTGCAACAATGTGCAGTAATTGATGATTACTAGTATCCTTGACAATGGAGTTGATGTGACTGGGGTGGAAATAATTTTGACATTGTCAAAACTGAATTTGAATTCTGTCAAAAAAGGAATGTTCATTTAACATGAAATAGTATTAAGAAGGGATGCTAAATAAATTATTATTGTTTAATGTTTAAGTACCTTTAAAGAGAGAATAATTAAATAATTTGCAGATAAACACCTTTGTAACTTTTATCAATTTTATATTAAGGACAACCAAAGGTGTCTGAAATATATATCATCATATATGATTTTTCTGTCTAAGAATGCACAAAATGGTGATCATCATCAAAAGACTTGTATTTGTTGGTAAATTTTGTGTTTAATAATAAGAAATAATCAAGTAAATTGGTGAACTTTTTTAAAATTTGCTATTTTGTTGATATTTTTTTATTAAAAATATTGTAAAAATATCTATGCTTTATGTTTAATGAACTCAATTATTTTATTATAGCCTGTTGATGAATCAAAATATGAGCCTTGTATGTCAAGAGTTGATTCTAAACAAAGCTCTCAGTATTCTCAGGGTAGTGTGCGCCGAAGAAAACAATCAAGAAGAACTACTAGAAGCGTATGTTTAAATACATTTTTATTGATCTTTCAATAATCCAATTACTGATTTTTTGTTTTTTGATCTAGTTTTTTTTTGAAGTTTTATAATTTAAATTTTAAAATGGATGTTTAATATTTATTTCTGCAATAATTCTTTGCTAATTTTGTTCATATGTTTAATTTTTAATTTCATTTAACAAGGAATGTACTCAAAGTGTCACTCTTAAGTCACACTGAATTTTTTTACGAAGTTTTTTTTGTAAAAAATTAGTATAGATAATTAGTAAAGAATTAGTATACATTTCTATTCTATACTTTCTTCTGTGTACACAATGTTTTCGTTACTTTAAATTAGTAATTGTTGTAATTAAAAGTATCTTAAAGAAAAATATTAGTGCTAGGGAAGTTTGTCACAGAAAGTCTGAAAAAATTCTGCCACAGGGGGGCTAACACACTTTTTAAATAATTAAAAAAATACCTGAAATTTGATCAAGGAAAAAACGTATATAGGAAACATACATCACCAGAATGTTATCAACGTTTTAATAAAAATATAAATCAGAGATTATATTTAAATTGTGCAATTAGGAAACTTAATGTGTGATTTTCAATTCACGCAAATACGAATTTTAATGTTTGATGAATACTAATCTCGATATTTTATTTTTAAATCGTGTAAATACGGATATCGGTGTTTGATTTGACGTTCGCTTAAATACACAACTCTATGTTTCATTTTAAAAACACTTGAATACGAATTCCGATATATACTTTTTAAATCACTGGAACACGAATTATAATACTGGATTTTAAATTGAGTAAATACAAAAAGTAATATTTGATATAAAAACGTGAAAATACAAAACGCAATGTGTGATATTAAATAGTTTAAATAGGAATCGTGGTGTGTAATTTTAAATCATGTGAATGTAGCTTTAAATCATGTTTGCATTGGTAGGAAAAAGCGTAAAAATTAATTTTTTTTTTTTCATCTTGAGAATTCGAAAAAGACGCACTTTCTTTGAAGAATACGGGTTATTTCTTTTTTAGTAATTATAAAAATTTTTCCGAGAAGGTGACAAAATCTTCTGCAATGACTCGCACGTTTGTGTATTATATACAGGTCTGTTTATGTTACCTTTGTGCTTGTTTACCATTGCTTTTCTTTCATTTAGAGAAATTGTTCATATAGTTTAAGTATAGTTATAGATCAAGAATCTAACTTGCTTAACAATTTCAAAGTTATTGAAAAATTGAATGAAGTGATAGCTATTTCCGTTTTATTTTGAAAATTCCTAGCATTAAAAACATATATTTTTCAAAACTTGTTCTTCATTATTAAATTTTACATTTTTTTTAAATATTTTTAAATAAAAATGGAATTTTTATTTACTGATTGGCCATATTATTTTGTTTATTTGAAACTCTTTTATAATATTATACAATGCTGTAAAAGGTATATGATTCTATGTCTTTTTTTTCCTTTCTCGCTATGCATATATTTATGTATTTTTTTTAATACTGATTTCTTTTAGTATATTTCTTATATATTTTCCAGAAGTTGTCTTTTCATTTAAATTGATTTATTTATTTATTCTTTTTTGTTTTTGCATATAATGATTATTATACTATTTTTTCCTACTTTGTACCATTAGACTAATAGTTCTATTAACAATCAGGTTTTTGCTTCAGTTATTTAAACAGGTGTAATACATTTACTTAAAAAAATTATTTTTATTAGAATGTTATCAAACTCTATATACATGACCAAAGATAAAAACTGGTCAGAAATTCCTTATTTTTTAGCTGACTATCAGTATTGTGTGACTAATATGGGTAATTTAATACCTCTTTGTTAAGGCAAAATATTATTGTTATATTGCTTTTCACTTTCTGTGTCCTTAAAATTAAAATTTGTTGGTATAAATACTTAAATCTTAAAAAAAAATTTTTATGCTTTTAAATTTTTAAGTATTAAAAATTTGTTGGTATAAATACTTAAATCTTAAAAAAATGTTTTTTGCTTTTAAATTTTTAAGTATTAAAAATTGCAATTTATCAGATGTTTTTCTTATATTCTAACAAAAATTCCTTCTTAATTAAAAAAAATCTAACAGTTGTGGATGTTAATTGTTAATTTTTAATTTATTTTCCAAAGCTTTTAGCTATTTCATTTTAAACATTTTAATATCAAATTTCATTTTAATAACATTGTAAGCATAATATTTCTTTAAAGAGTACTATTGTAATTCTGATATAAATGAAACTTATTTTAATGTAGCTAATATAAGTTGTTGATGCCTTTATGTCTTTGCATCTGGCTAATATTTAACTCTATATCCATTTCTTTGTTCCTGCATGTATTACTTATGTTGCACCTTAAATTGCTTTCCTGGTTGCACAACCATCTGCATCTTGCTTCTTCCCATGGTTGTTAACTTCTAAGCAGCAAGAAGAAAGAACAAGAGTAGGTAGAACTTCTTCTGTAAAAAAAGTAAGAACAGATGTTTTAATTGTATGTCATTGGTAGATACTGACCCTCCCTATAGCTAGAGCTTTTTTGGTTTTAGTACTTTTTTTGTCGTTTTTCTATGGAATATATATTTCTGCCTTTCTTAAATGTGTTTCTTCTTAATTTTGGAAAAATCTATATAAAATATAGTATGCCCTTTTAAATATAAATATTAAGATTCAGGATAACTGCTTTAAGGAAAATGACTTTAAATTTTTTTTTATCTGGTTAAAACTATTAAAAATTTCATCCATATTTTCAAATTTTGTTTAAATTTGAGTTTATTAAGTATTCTTTTAAAGATTAAACGTAGCATTGTCTAGTATATACTGTAGACAACATACTAACTTATGACATGCTCACTTATAACATGCTAAAAATGTTTGATATGGAATATGTATCTTATCAAAATATGTATTGCAACAAAAAACATCAAGCAATGTTGTATTTTATTTTAATTTATGAAATTTAACTCAAAATTTTTATTTCAATTTAGTTAAGCTAATACATAAGTTAATGCTTGAATGAATAAGATGTTGAATGTGTAATGTTTATCCACTTCAAATTTCCTTATGATTTTTTTAATTAAGTCTTATAATGCTTATTTATGTGAAAATGCGTGTTTATGTCTCAATATAATGCTGAAATATTTTCAATTATTTAAGTAATTTATAAAGTTTTAGATTTTCAAATGGAATGAACATTCAAAAAGCAAACAAAATTAAATTCCAAATGCAATTTTTCTATACCTTGTTTTTTTAACATAACATTCCATCCAAAGAATAAATTCACTATTGTTAAAAATTAAATAGTTTTGATAGAGAACTTATATTTGAAAACCCTTGATCTAAATATTTGATCCTATATTTGAACTTGATCTAAATATATGTCATGCCTTAAGAAATTAATTTTTAAATATTTCCTCTGTATTTTTAATATCAAAAATTTCATAGTAGTCTAAAAATAAACAGCGCAGTTTTGATATTTAAAATCAGTTTCAAGGATTACAGGGACAATGAGCCTATTTAGTTTTCATATTCTGTCTTATTTCTGCAACTTAGAAGCCTTAAAAGACATATTTTTACGAAAACTTTCCTTCCTGAAAGAATTGGTAGCATGAGTAGTGTTCTTTATTTACCATTAACCAATGCTATTAAATCCAGAAATTTAAGTACATTCTAACATCTTATTCTACTAAATGATTTAAATAGCTTAGAAAGAGAAAAATGATTAATTACCGTGATTTTATAGTGCAAAAGTTTAAAGAAAAATTTCTTTATAAAACTCACCTTTGTATGTTTCAGTAGCAGCTTTTTCAGACCTACATACACTTGTAGTTCTTGCTTTAATAGCTTTTGTTTGTATTTGTGGTGTGTATTTAGTAAATGGTTGCCTTTTTATTATTTCGAAATCATTTAATATTTTGGTACTAAATTAACATCTAGTGTTTTGGGATTATTTCTTAACTTATATTGCTTTGTTTTAAATCTATTTTAGTTAGGAAATAATAAGTTACTCTTGGACTTCTGTTTTTTTTTAAATTTTACTGTTTCTCACTTATAACATTTTAAATTTTTTAACTAGTTATGGCATTATCCACATAACATTAAAGTACATTTAAAAATATGTAAGGGCTACTTTTTTAATATAGATTTTAAATTTAACCTACTGGTTTTCATGCTTTTTAATTACTAACAATGCATGACTGCTTATAGTTGCTAACACATTTTATATCTTTGCATGCAGGCTGACAACCGCTCTTTCTATTACAACTCATTTGACAATTGCCCAGTATGTAGTTTAGTGCTTTATTTTCATTTTTATTCTTTATAATTTTGATTTTTACACAAAAAAGTACTTTTGTACTTATTGTTTAATTCTATAAGACTTATTACTAATGATGACCTATTTCTACCACAAAGTATTTTTTTTAATGAAATGAGTAGGTCAGTTTTCTGATGTTTAATTATTGTGCCTTAATTAACATAATGCCTACCAATTTATCTTGTTAAAAATCTGTTCAAAACTTGAATTACTAGGGAAAATATTCTTTTCTTAAAACCCTAAAATTAATATCCAGGCAGTTCTTTTGTATATATATATATATATTGTGATTTCTATTTTGCAGATAAAATGTGCTCGTACTGTTAAAAAAAAGTAAAACTGAAAATTTTTTAATACATTTTTACCAATAGCTTTCAATACAACTAGCTTTGGAACACACTGGAGAAATTTTTTAGTTTGTGTGAAAATTTTTACTTTTATATTGACTTGACATGTTATTTATTTCTGGCATAATTAAAATTACAAGTTAGCCCCAGGCAATCTGCTGCAATTGCTTGATCTGTTTTGTTTAGTATAATCACAACAAAATGCATTGATATAATTGATTTATTATAGTAAGTACTGAATATTAAGATGATAAAGAGATAATAGTTTCCGTGTATTATGAAAGAACCTTAATCTTAGTTATTTAGAGTTCAATCACCCACACACAGGTTTCACACAAGTTGTTGAAATTTTATTGTTTTTGAATGGATAAAACAGTTTCCATAAAATGTACAGTGTTCAAAAACATATTAAAGGAATAATTTATTAATCATTGATTCCGTGTTGATTTTTATCACACATTTCTTTAAAAGGTTTCCTGAGTTTTTCCTCTTTTTTTTTTTCTTATTGAATTAAAGCATTTCACAATTGCAGAGTTTTGAAAATTGCTTCTTTTATGAATATGAATGCTTTTTAATGCTTTTATGAATGCTTCTTAATAAATATTTTGAGTTTGTGGCAATTCTACTCTTCGTGATGAATTTTAACGTTTTCATACAGAAACTGCTCTGAAATTAGTTTACTTTATCCGAGCATTATTTCTTCACCAAGGAGGCTTACTCGTTGTGTTTTTATTTTTATATTTTTCATACATAAATTAATTATTTTTTCGTACTGAGTTAATATTAATGTATTGAAAGTGTTAATTACTGAGCTTTTTTAGTGCTTTTTTCTCAACGTTCTTCCTTATAGAAATGCGTTATTTGGAGTCATTAATATGTAATATGATTGCTAATATGTAGCATATTAGAGCAAAGTTAATGAGTTAAGAATTATTCATTGTCTATGAGTGAAAACACAACAAGATTTTATTCTCTCATTTTGAGTATTATTATTGGTAAATGTATTGTTTAAAATTCTTGTTTCACAGAAAATGGTTGACATTAGTAAAAATTTAACTACGGCTTTTATGAGTGAAACATTAAGAGCTAAAGTTAGAGTTTGAAAATATTTCACTTTCATTGTCTAGGCTTCTTTTAGATCACTTATTCTTTTACTTACAGTTACCTGCACTTTAATCTGTCATTTAAAACATGTCTTTTTAATGGAGCTACACTTAAACAAAAGAAGAAAACTTCATCATTTATTACTCATTACTTAAGATCCTCATTACTTTTAACGATAATGGGGGTGATTATGGCTTAATGTTTCTAAGAATGTAATAAAAACATCACAGGCACTGTCTTTAGTTAAGAAGTTTTAAGGCAGTTTTACCAATGAAGTAATCAACATTATGAACAATAGGATCATTACTGTCAGGAAAATTTCTTTTGTCTGTGCATTTATTCCATTGTACTAAAAGCTAAAACTAAATAAAGTTGAGCACAAATTTTTCAATAAGTAATTTTTATAGCAAAAACAGAAAAAATGTATTATTAACAAAAATTTTCTTAAGTTTTATTTTTTTTACTTTGTTTTTTACATGCAATGTTTTTTAATAAAATTTTATTAATTATTACTAATTATTACTCATGCATTTTTAATTATAATTTTATGATAATTTTTTATATATTACAATAAATAATTTTTAATTATTACTATCCTGCATTTCATGTATTTTTAAGTTAGATACAACTGAAAATGTTTGTTTTGGTTTTTTATTTTGATTAAATTCAAATAATTTCTAGGGAAATATTACTCTTGGTATTGATTTCAATAATTCATTAGGGACTACACCTATTTTTCAAGGAGTTTATTTTCAATCACTATAAATTATCACATAAAACAATATATTTATTTAAAATAAATTGTATTTAAAAATAATTGTATTTAAAAATGTATGCTTTCTGCTTTTGCTTATAGTTTCCTTACATTTCTGAAATTATATTATTATTAATTCTTTTTGTATTAATGTGAAATGTTGAATTGATTGCAAAATGACACTTTATCAGTAATAGAATATATTTAGAATTATAAATTTTCCCTTTTTTTCTTTTGCTGCTTTACTGGAGTGCGTTTTACAGCAATTGGTAAGGAGGATTTCAGAAGTGTGAAAATTTTAAAACGAAATATTATTATTAGTGGAATTTTTATTTAATTTATAAATGTTAATAACTAATTTTCAATGCATTAAGATACTGCATTCATAACTTTTTTTCTATTTTGTACCAAAATCCTTCTTTTATGAATACTTATTGTTATTTATACATTACATACTTTTTACCTTTTTTGAATCTAAAAGCTCAATCTCATAAGAATTTGGCATGGCTGCTTTTAACATTTTGATAAAAATTTCTGCATTAATATTATACTTTTGAGTTTTTAAATGATAACTAAGTAATTTTTTTAGAAACATATAAGTTCTTGGTTTTATTATTACATCGGCAAATTTTTTTAAAATTAATTCATTCTTTTCACTTGCCTTGTTATTAATTCCCAATTTTCCTTTTAGTACACTTACCTCCTCGAATCTTTGTACATTTATTAATGTTGCTCAATTTTAATAGTTATTTTTATTTTTAACAAGGCTCTTTTATTTAAAATTAATAAAAAATTGGTTTTAGATTTGTTACAAATTTATGTATATTTTATTAAAATTTCATTTGCAATGTTGGATTCAGCATAAAAAAGGGGGAATGTTAAATCAGTGTTGTGGCATTAGAAAGGTTAGTAAAAATAAAAAGTTACGTAACAAAATTAAATTATAGCTAGATAAAAAGATCTTAATAAGTATAACCTCAGCTATAAAAATGGTGGCCAGCTATTTCCTGCATTTCAGCTTCATTTTACTGTCATTTTAAATATTAGAAATAATTTAAGTAACCTTGAGGTCAAAGTTAAAGTTTTTATTTGCTTATTTCATTTCTTTCTGAGACATTTATACCCTAACGTTTCTATGAAACATTTGATATATTTGTTTCCCTTAACTAACTGAAATTAATGAAAAAGTTTTATGCAGTATAAGCATAAGCTCATTCAAACAAAAATTGATGTATTAAGATGAATGAAAAAAAAGTCTACAATTAGCTGTAAAAATGTATTTATTCTCTTCTAGCTATTAGATGAAGATCACACTGGTAGATCTTATCGTACCATTGAGAGTGGTGACCCCAATGCTGCCACTCTATCTGTCGATCCTAATGGAAGTATAATATGGACAAGTGAAAGTGATATGCCAGAAATGAATGTTGAACCACTTGAAGACAAGATCACAACATCCAAGAACTTTTATTCCAATCTGAAGAAAGTTTTCACACCCATTCTTTCTGGTTTCAAGCTCATTTCAAAAGGAAGTTACATCGTCACTTTGATCATCATGATGGTAAAGCTATATTTTATTGTGAATTATATATTGTAATAAGTCTATTTTTATTAGTATTATATGTTATTATACTATATAGGCAACTATATAGCTTCAACATATGTTGAAGCTATATCGTCACTTTGATCATCATATCATGAGAATCAAAGTGATGATATAACTTCATAAGTTATGTTTCAATTTATGTTTGAAAGTTCTGTTTTAATAAGGTAAAGTTATATTTTAATTTATTATTGTGAATTCTATATTGTTATAAGTAAATTTTTATTAATATTATATGTTATTAGTCAAACGAATATATACAGGATAATAATAAAATGGCATTGCTAATATGTAATTACCTGATTCGCTTGTTATTTGTGATAATAAAATGAAATTTTTCTAACATTATTATAAGTGTGTACTCAAGAATAGTGTTTAAAATATCCAGGAATAGGATTATCCAGGTCTCACAGTTATGGTTATAACGGCAAATTTTTGAATGGCAATACTTATTTTTTCTTTTTGTAGAAATATGATTTCCTTATTAAAAACTTTAAAAAGGAGTTGAATCAATATTAAAACAATCTTTTTCTTTGACATTGTCTAGCTCAACCATTTTTCATGCTAAAAAGATCCTTCTAATTTGTTATTAAATTTTTTGAACTTTAAGTCATTTGAAATTCTCTCATCGCAAACATGAGAGCATAACACAATCATTTTTAACATTATTCTTGCATTTGTAGCTTATAATTAGAATTTCGTAAATTATGCCGAAATATTTTTCAAATTATGTGACAGATGGTAATTTTATAATGGGTATGAGATATGGTAATTTTTTAAATTATGATGGCAGGTCCAAGTGACTCAATTTGAAAAAAAAAATACAGTTTTTATTTCTTACTTAATTTAATTACAATTTTTCAATTATTTCAGTAAATATTTTAACTAATGAGTTAATTTATATGAATGTGCAACACTACAATGATTATATAAATAAGTCAATGTGAAGCAAAATTATCTCAGAATATTTGTCTTATTTTCATAATAATTTGGTCATAACAAGATACAGATTTTTACTAGCAGAGCACTTTCCTTGTTATTTTTTGTAAAATTCTGAAAATATCTCCGAGACTTCTCTGAATTCCAGATTTTGATTAGATCCAGCTTTCAACATTCTTCAACATAGCTCACTCATTTCTGGAATGCACTTGAATAAACAGTCCTCATCACTATCTTATCGGGTTTAAACCATATGGTATATATGGGGATAGTCAAGATTAGGTTGCTAAAAAGTTTCTTATAATTGCAAGGGGGAAAAAATCACAAAAACAAGTTAAAGTAAATTAAGATGTTTTGATGAATAATAGTAATTGTATGGTTAGTCAATGGATATTTGGACTGTTTTAAATAATGCGGTTTTTCTGTATAACTGCATAAAATTTATATGGCCCTACTTATAATACCATTTTACAAAATTTTATGGTATTATTTTCTTGCCAGAGGATTATATGTTTACTAAGTAATTTTATAACCACATTTGTATATAGTACTGTGTTTGTCAAAAAATTTGTAAACATTATTAAATTAGAAATATATTTGCATACATTTTTCTATAAAAATATTATTCTATGTCATGTTTTAATCAATATTCTCTATTGTTATGTTGTGTTATTTACTGTTTTTAAATATAATTTAATTTGCTGTGTTAAAGTTTTTACATATGTTATATTTAAATATACAAATGTTAAACCACTATATTTATTCTAAACTGGTTCAATTAAAATGCTAAACTTTAGTTTTCTTGTATGAGGGAAATTATACTTTTACCTTTTGAATAAAAAGTTAAGAAAAGTTGTAATAAAAAAGTTTTGTCATTCTGCAATGATCTGAATAGAGTAGCATAAGCAGGAACTAGTTTAGATTGCGGAAATTGTGTTTGCTCTACTCAAAATCTACTTTCTTATTTTTTTTAAAACTTCATTGTGATCTTTTTTTAATATATTTAATTTAAAATAAAATTTAAAAACTTTAGAATTGCTAATTTAGAGTTTATTTTCTCAATATTAAATATTCTAGATTAAACTACATATTCCATGGAATATTGCATTTTGAAATGTGTAATGATTTACAGACACCATTTTTTTTAAATGTGTGTTTTTTTATTTTTTAGACTTGGAGTATAACTTACCACAGTTGGTTGACTTTTGTATTGCTTTTGTGGTCCTGTATCGTCTGGATGTGTCCTAATTCTCGATACGCTTGCTTAAGATCCTCTCCAGCTTTAGTTTTTTATGCTGAAGCTCTACTGATTTTGCAATACATTTTTGGACTGAACTTAACAAATGAGGAGCTCCCAGACTTTTCAATAACTAACAAAAACATAGCACAAATTGGATTAATCAAATATGGTGATACGGCTTATCAGCCACTGGCGATTAAGGTAATTTTAAGGATTTGCAATAATCAATAATACATTTTTATTATTGACTATTCATCTTTTTATATTCATTATTTTTTTTCATCTCCAAACATTCTGACTGCTGGTGAAATTGTTCATAATTCTCCCTAACAATATTTAAAAAAAACATTTTTGTTGTTTGTCGCAGGAAAAACTCTAGGTTAAAGCTAAGAAAAAGTTTAGATTTATTCTCAGGTTGTTAAAAATGCATGTACAGAGAACAAAATGAAAAATAAAATTCATCTACTGATTGAATTTTTTCAATATAGCATGTAACTCTAACAAAGGGATGTAGGTACTAATTTCTGCAAGTGATATTTTAAGTTACGGAATCAGAAAAAAAATGTAACTTTGTCTCATATATAGTTTTATTCTCAATATTCTGTTTTTTTTCTCTTTATCCTTAAAGTATTGAGTGTAGCTGCAATTTGATAGTTGCAACATATGGTCACAGTAGTTCAGTCAGAAGTGCATTTAAAAGTTTGGACCTCTTAATGTAAATTTCCTTCTTTTGCATATTCTGCTGTATCTCAGAAATTATTTAAACTAATCAAAAACTTTTTTGTACAGTTCTAAAACTTGTTTTTCTAAAGATAATTGTAAAAATGGTTTTTAAATACATATTATATATTTTTTTAATTATTTAATTTTAGTCAAAAAACTTTTGAGTTGTACGGTATGCAAATTACACATATATAATTTTAAATGCCAAAATACAAAATTTGAACAAACTCAGTCGAATATAAGGAAATTAATTTCAAAGAGTCATATTTTTAAACTTTTGTTTCTCAAGAACAACTGGTCAAATTTCATCAGAATTTTGTATTTTGTCATTTAAAATTGCTTACTTTAAAATGAAACCATTTTTAAAATTTTTTAAAATAAATTCCCTATTAAGAGTTTGCAGTTTAGTCAGTAATTAATTTTTCAAAAATATGGAGATGAATGCAGAATAAGCTAAATAATAAATAATGAAAATAAAAGTACAGAAATGGACATACTATAGCTTTGGTTCCGCAAACAAGAGCCGAAACTATAGTATTTCCATTTCTGTACTTTCATTTGTGCTTTTTTCAAGTTTTTTTTTTGCTTTATTTTTGCTTTATTTTATTTTTTGTAATTTTTGCTTTATTTTTATATTTAGTTCATGAATTAATATGAATATTCTGCCAAAAATATTTGTTTCTACTTACTTGTTAATGCTTTAAAAGAAGATATTTTTTTAATATACATAATTATTGTAACAACAAATTTTTAATTTCTCCATTTGATTTTGAAATACTTTAAAACCATTTTAGATTCTGTATACCATCATGTTTTGGTTCACCATGAGACAATTTTTTGAAGAGTACCATCATGAAAACCAGAGGAATATAGCTGAAGGTCTGACGATGGAATCTTTTAACATTACTTATAACACTGCCACTCCTGCATGTCCTCGGCCATGTATGTGTACATGTTTGTCTGGATAAAAAACCCCATATACTTTTTTTTAAATTTCATTTACCGCTTGTTCTATTTCACATTTTTATTTTTATTTGATAAATTTCATTTTCTATTTTTTTTCTTTCTTTTTGTGTGGTAACTATTAATAAATGTGTAAAGGCTAGCAGGAGACAAATTAATTAATTCTCTTCATATTCAAAAAAAAATATTATGTGTTGCACTTTTTCAATCCTTTTGCTTCATTTTTCTTTTCTAAATAAAAACATTTGTGTCATGCTATAATTTTTGTATAACTTTAAATTTTTAAAATTACATTTTGGTCAACTGACTGCTTTAGCTGTCAGGCAGGATGTTCGACAAAAAAAAACAGAATTTTTTTTAAAATTTAAAACTTTAAGTTGACAGAAATTATTATCTTGGTCCCATATTTACCTAAAATAATTTTAGTCCAGTTGAAAAATGTGTAGGGCTCCCAGGATAGGCTTAAAGAGTAATTTTTTTTTAACTCTAAAACAAAAAATTCAAATGTTTTTTTAAAAGTATAAGTGTTAAACAAAATTTTGTTTTCAAGTACAAAGTGTAAAGTTTAGAAATTAAAGTAATACAGTGAAACTTCCAGGAATGGCCAGCTCTATGTAGCGACCTCCTCTATTTACAACCAAAGTACAATGTTTTATTTTATTTTATAACTGTTGTTGAACAGCCGACCCAATTTTGGGTTTACAACAACTAATGTTCAACTCTGTAGCCTTGTAATTTTGAACTAATCCAGAAAACAAGGAAACTCCTGGATCAGTACCCCCAGAGGTATGATTTGTTCTGGGAACATGGAGGACTTTGTGACTAGACTGATTTAACGTGCCCAAGTCACCATTTACTACATGAGGAGTCTTCGGTCGATGGGGATCGAACCCACACCTTGAACATGGGTCCAGTGCCCTACTACAATGTTCGAATAAAATCAGTAAAATTTGAGGAATTTCATTTCAAACAGTTATATATTTAAACTTTTATTTCCCAAGAACTACTAGACAAATTGCATCAGAATTTTGTATTCTGCCATTTAAAATTATTTTCTTTAAAATGAAGCCATTTTTTAAATAATTTTTAAAATAAATTCATTATTTTGTGAGGCATGAAATTTTCTCCATGTATTTTGTGTTGAAGAAAACCTCTTTCAGCAACTGAGAAAACCTCTGTACCAAGTGCCAATAGGTCAAATAAGAAAACACGAAAAAATATTAGCAAAACAAATAAATAGATTATAAAATATTTTGTGGGACTCTTACGTATAGAGCTTTTTTTGACAATCCCTGAAGGAGATTTGTAACCTCATGTTGCAGTTAGAGTGCACTAGATGCTATTAATTGTTTAATTTTAGTGCAAAAGTTAAATTTTAGAAGTTTTAAATTATAAAAAAGGTTATTTTAGAAAAAAAACTAAGTATCTCAAACAAACATATCTTCTCTTCTTTTAAAGCTAACTAATTTTTATAAAAGGAAATTAAATGCAAACTTAATAAAAAAATAGAATTGTTTATTTATTTCATATAGCTCTATCATTTGTATCTGTACTGATAACTTTTATTGACGTTATATTTTATTCATTGAAATGGTTTTCATTACGCCAACACAAGTATCATTTCCGCACCAAGAAAATGGCTCTAACTAAAATTAAATTCGTTTGCTAAAGATCATGTACCTTGGATAGCATTTTGAAGTCAACGGAGTTAACCCCTAAGAATGACCAATCTTTATTAATGACCATTTTACTGTGGAACAGGGAGTGGTCAGGCTCCAGAGGTTTCGTGGTAATAGCATAAAACTTTGCATGTGAAATGTAACTGATCCTCCTTAATTTACATGAAAATCTTACTTTTCATAAATAAATATATATATTTTGAATTTCCAACCAATATTAGATGTCTACATGAAGACTTGACTCTTATTTTGAAACGGTTAGACATATCCTAAAGATTTGGTTCAAAATTCAATGTATGCATTTATATAAAAATATATGTATTTTCAAAGGATCTAATTGTTACATTTCATATAATAAAAATTCATCTGTTACTTTACATTCTAAACTTTACATATTTTGTTCTTTAAAACTATTTATTGTATTTATGTTATTAAAAAAGATTACATTTATGTTTTTGATTAATTAAGAAAAAAAAATCATTTCAATAATTATTTTATCTCTGGAACAACTCGTAAAAATACCTATAAAATCATTATATAAGTGAGTCTCAACTCAATACAATCTACATTTGAGTTAAGAAATTTAGGTTTATTCATATTTGTTTGTTTGCTTGCTTTTGCTATTGTTCAGTTAAAATTTTAATTGTTGAAAATTCAAGTTCATGCCAATGTGTTTTTAAAACAAAAATTGTTTTTTGGTGTAGGCAGGAGAAACTTTTTTGATATTGGTATATTATAAAGATTCCAAATCAATCAAGATTTTTATTTTACATATTTTTAATATAAATTTAATTTTTTTTTTATTCTTAAATGTTATTTATTTATTTATCTTGTTTATTCTTAATGTATATCAAAGTTTTTTCTACATTATTTCAACATAAATGTGACGATAAATGTACTTTTATGTGCTTTAACTTATTTAAACTAATTCATAAATTTTTATTTCAGCCATTAAGAGGCATTTTAGTATTGTACCATCTACTACTTCTCCTAATCCTTATATACGCATAATTGCTGAATCAGTATCAAACTTACTGACTAAATATTGGATATGGATTGTTGCATGCATGTTAATGGTAATTTCTTTGGGAGGACAAGTAGTAGTTGTGTATCGTATCGTCTACATGTTCCTGTTCTTGTTTTTCATTTTGATGTTCCAGGTAAATATTCAATCATAAAAACATTTAATGAACTCATATCTTAGGTAGTGTTTTTTGCTACTTATATTATTTATTATACCTCTTATTAAATTTTTACATTATGCTCTTCATTTAGTTTGTTTTTTTAAACTTTTAACCCCTAAAGTATTAGTTCTGTTTATTTTTTCAAACTTTTCATCTGGTTTCTATTTTGAATTTTTTATTTTTATTTCTTAATAATAAATGAGAAAGTGATTTCAGGAAAATCCTGTATATTATACTCAGTCATAACTCTTGAATGATTAAAAATATTAAAATATTTGTATATCAAGAGAGATAATGCTTTAAAAAATTGCACATTTAATTTTGAGAAATGATAACTATAAAAACCCACCAATTAAGTTTGCTTGGCTATATATATTTGTACATATATAGTCAAACCTTGATGCATTGTTCCCATATCTGTCATTTTCTGTTTATATTGTCTTATTTGAACTGTCCATTCACAAATGCTATTCTTATAAAGTTAAAAACATCCAATTAAATCGTTTTTGAAACTAGCAGATTCCCACCTTTATCGTTTCAAGAATTTACTGATATTTTCTAAAAATATTGAAGTTAATATGTTTTGAGAAGAAAAACAGAAATTTATGATGCTAATTAGAAAAAAAGAATATGAGGATTTGTTGCAGTTCAGAAAAACGCCTTCAACCTCTTTTTTTATGTTTATGTATTAGTTCATGAAAATGTCGAAACTTCTGGTGTTCAAGAAATGATTGCAAAACTGACATAATGATGACTGATAATGACATAATGATGGAGAAAGTGAACTTGGCCAAAACCAATGAAAATATTTGCAGAAGTCCTCCAAGCCATTGAAATAATAAAGAACTCTCTGCATTCATATGAACTTATAGGAAATGAAGAGCTATCTGTTATAAATGTCAAAAATTTATTATTTGCGCTAAGAAGAAAAGAGTGTGTTCAAACCTAAATTTCCAGATATTTTTAAGAAGTAAACATGTTCTTATTCCTTCTTAAGTACAGAATTGTGTATTAAGTACATAATTTTTTCAATACAAAATTTTTAAAACTAATTATAAATCTATTTATTTTTGAGTTTATTACTTTATCACTTTTCATACATTTTCACGTTACCACTGGATATTTTGTTGACCCACATTTGTCGTTTTCCAGCATCTATCATTTATAATGAATGGTTCCTTGAGAAATAATTGAATTAATTGACACATTTTAATGCTTATACTCTGTGAAATCTTACAAATTGCTACTTTTCTGATACAATGATTATTCATCAGTGTTAGGAGAGTCATATTGGTTCCTTGTCAGTCAATGTGACTTTAAATACTAAATAACACTTAATACGGTCAATTCACGAAAACGTGAATCTGACAAAACTGAAAAAATCCTTGATTTAAGCGATGTTCAACTTAAATTTTGATGTTTAACTGATAACTGGAGAGTCTTTTTGGTTTCACAGTTAACTGATTAAATTATAAAATTGCAGTGATTACTGATTAAATTATAAAATTACTACTGAAAATTTATCTTATGATTATTTCATATATGGAGTGATCTAAAAATTTTCATTTGAGGACTGTGCAGTTTGGATTTGGTTTATCAGTCATGCAAAAATAATGATGTCCTTGATAGATCTTATCACTATTAATAAAAGCTTACTATCTACTTTTTTATATTAAGCTGCTGAGAATCATATAAATGCAATTTCCGCATTAATTAAGTATTTTAATATTTTTGATACTTTTTGTTCGATTTTTTTTGTTGAAATGTGCTACAATGAACCTATACACTGAATTTTAATTAGATTGTGCGCATTTTTAAAACTTTTCAAAGTTCACGCTTAAAAATTTATACAACATTAACATTTAAAACTTGTTAACTAGTTCAAACAAACACATTTCTGTGCATATAAATAAAACAATTATTGTTTATAACTTTTAATTAGTTACTTAATTAAAAAGGAAATTTTGTCAATATAATTCTCCAATCAGCTTTTTCTACACATTTTTCAAAAATAAATGAATGTCACATTAATACTATGTTTACATGTTGGTACTTATATATTAGCATCAATGACGTGCTCATTTGCATACACCCTACAATGACACATTCTGTAATCATACTTTACATCAAGATTTATTCAATTATACTTAAAGCTACTTGAATAATTATACTTAGTAACTTAATTAAAAAGTAAAGTCCATGTAAATCTCCATAGGTTAAATTGAAGAAATTGTATTCCCTTTTTTTAGTGAAGGGTTTCCGTAATGTTTCTACACACTATTAAAAATGAAATAAATGCCACATTAATGCCATGCCGAGAGGTGGAGGTTTATATATTAGTATTAGTGACATGCTCATTTGCATATGCCCTGCGGTGATACTCATCAAAGATTTATTCATTCAAAGATTTATCATTCATTTATTCATAAAGATTTATACATCAAGAGTTATTCAGTCATACATATTTTATTTTGTAGTTATTGAATACTGTTCTAGTTGTTTCAAACTATATATAATCAACTATATACAAAACTATATACAAAAGTTTATGTATAATCACAGTGTGATTAGAAATATTATAAATTTTTTTTCTTTTTTTAGTTTTCCTATTACTGGTGGAGGAGGATCATGTATGGATTTTGGTTAACTGTTATTGTTTTTTCAATGCTTGTGCTTATACTCATATATACTTATCAATTTGAAGATTTTGATTATTATTGGGAGAGATACCTCCATGTCCCTAAAAGCATGTAAGTTTTGATTTTGTTGGAAAAATAGTCATTAAGTCATTTAACAGTTTTATTATAATTTTTTTTTATATTTCTGAGAATTTTAATTGAAATACATGCTATTGTGTCTTACATTATGAAATTAAAGTGAAAGATTGACTCTACAGATAGATGAAAATTTTGAATGCTGAAAATTTTAATTTTTCACAGTAGCTTAATTTTGGGTATAGGTGCTATTCTTAAAATAATAAATGTTTAATCAGAAAAGGTGCTTATAAAATAATGATGATAAAATTATTAAGGATTTAAAAAAAACCAACTTGAATTGTAAAACTGCAAAAAAAAAGCATCCGACAGAAATTTGTAAAAATCTTAACAAGTTAATTATCTCCCGTTTTAGTTATAGTTCATTCACCAGGAGTTGGCACTTGGCTCCACCTCCTCATACGAAGAGTTCATTTCAGCGCGGGAGTAAGAGGAGAAACGTCTCCGCGATTGAAATTAAGACAACACTTAATGCGCACCAAACACAAACAGTGAATTCTTTTTCAGTCATTTATTTCACGCTTTATCATCTTCTATTATACCCTTCGTTACTGTAGCTAATTAAATATCTAGCACCAAAATGTCTTCAAAAGGACAACTATTCACTTAATTTATGTAATATATAATGTAAAAAGAAAATGCAGATAAAGATTATGAAATAAATATTTTTGTCATACGGTCGCCAAATGGCAACCTTGTTCAGCATTGCTCACAACCTTCTCCCGAAAATAGCGAAATAGTATCGTCGGATACCACGTGATGAAGGCGAAGCCAAGTGCCAACTCCTGGTGAACGAACTATATTTAATGCTTTTTGCGTATTTTCCCATTTCTGAGAAAGTTTGGCATGCAAAAATCGAAACACGGAAAGGTTAATCAGAATCTTTGCTTATAAAAATTTTTTGTTCAATAAATGATTACTAGAATATAGATAAGTGATTAATAGAATGTAAATAAGTGGTTACTAGAATATTGATGATAGTGATTGACAGAAATATTGAAAATTAGTAGTAATAGACTGACTAAAAGCTATAAAGATGAAACTCAAGTTGAAAAGAAAAGAGAAACAGAAAAAAAAAATCATTCTTAATTTCTCAAACTGTGATGCTGAAGATCCTAATATTCTTTTTATATTAGCATATTTTAAGGAAAAATATCAAGCTATAATGTTATCGATTATAAAAAATGTCTATGATAAGTGCTCAACATATGAAAACTCTTGCTCTTTCGAGTTATCTTTTTAGTCTGTATTGGATAGGAATGCTTTTCACTGTAAAATAAAATTAAACATTTGATTATTTTATGATATGTATTTTTCAGGCAAGAAGATTTGGGTCTTGAGTTGTTCAACTCTGATACTGGCACACTTTTTGTCAAGCTTTTGACTCCTACATTTTTCCTTATCATAACCATAATACAGCTTCATTATTTCCATAAAGAGTTTCTTCTTATTAGCGATATGCAGTACAGGTAGTTCATTTATCAGCTTGTATATAATTTTATTGTTTCCAAAAATGTAAATTTTTGTGACAGTTTGAGTTTGTAATTTTTTGTGAATTTTAAAAGTATAAGCTGATTATTTAAAAATTTAATAACGGCGAAGGTTATGCTAACTACTTTGGATTCTATGCAACTTATATGGGTTTTATTTCTGTCGAAATTACAGAATTTAAATTTTTTTGAAAGTTTATAAATTTTTAAATGTTTTTGTGTAAATTATATTCAGTTTTTAAAGCTAAAATTTTAAGAAAAAACTACACTTTTTAAAATTTCAAAAATAATGCCAACTACTTTTGTTTTTTGTAGTTTTTACGGATTTTAATTTTGACTGTGGAATTTCCACAAGATTTTAAAATTTTTAAATAAAGGTTTAACTGTTTGTACTTGTAAAAAGAGTAAATTTATAAAGAACAGTATCTCAAATGACAAAAAATATGATCTAGTCTTATTTCTCCTTAATTTTCAGAGCATGTTAACCGCACTTTTCTTTCTGTTAAATGTTTTCTCTATTTTTGATTGACCTCTTTTCATTAAAATTTTTTCCAAAGAAATACAGTTATTTATTTGTTCTGTAAGTAAATTAAGACGTTCTTTTTATACTTTTTTTAAGTTCTGGTTGTTAGTGTTTGTACAATTAGCTTTATTTCAGCTTATTTTATTGTTTTATGTAACTTTATTAACATAAATTAGGTTATGTTACTTTGTAACTTAAATGTAGCTTATTTTAAATTAAATTGAAAGAATACACAAAATACTGTAAAACTATCCTTTTTCCAAGGAAAACTACAGTTAAAGTACTTAGTAATAAAGAAATTGTATCATTACAAGTTGGCATACTTATTACAATTTTTGAATGTTAGCAATCAATTGATATCAGATATTATTATTAATTGCATAGTTACATAATTTAGCTTAGATACATAGAGTAGTATTATGCAAAGTAGAGTTTGTGAACTATTCTATAGAGTTAAGCTATATTATAAAGCTAAAAGTTTGTGTAAAATTTTTATAAAAATATTTTATAAATATTTCCCTTGTTGGTTGGGACCAATAGAATTACATTATTCTTTAAAAATAAAGCAAATCTATGTAAGTATTTCTGAAATCTAATCATTATTAATTTTTAACTGAATTATTTATTATATTTAGTAAAAAAAATTATTAAACTCTAGAAAGACGGATAAGGCCGATTTGATTTATCAGATTTTTTTTGCTCTGTAATTCGAAAAAAAAATAACTGAAAGTGCAAAGTATATTCAACTTTTCATAATTTGAACCAATTTAAGTTATTTAATCATATAAAAGCCTTATAAAATGTATGTATAGATTCTTATACCTAGAATGATTAGAGAGGCTAGAGTGACCACTTAAGTATTTTGGTAGGTATCCCATAACCCCAGGTAGTTTGGGGTATAAGGTACCCCAGATTCATTAAAAAGACAAGAGTATTTCAATGTATCCATAATTTTATTCATAGATAAAAGGAAACTTAATTATCAAATAAACTAATGTATACAATTAATTGAAGATTTGAAGTAATCAAATATTTTTTTAACCAAATCTAATAAATTACCACAGAATTTCAGTGATCAAGTCTATAATATGTTTTGATTAAATCAATTATGATTGTATTTTAAGATTTAGGATGTCTATATGATCTATGTATAAACATAGTGGGATGGCTCAACTGACCCCTTCAGTCTTTTTAAATATACAATGTTCAGTAGTTCAGTCTTTCTACTGTTAATTAAAACATTTCTGACTTAAACTATTTTTACTTGGAGAAAGAAATATAAAGTGAAATCCTCATATGGCAAGAAACAAATTTTTATTGGCCGGGAAATCACGTGGTAGGATCTAGTTTTCCCTCATTCATTTCCATATTGTTTTGGTTCTCACTAGCATAAAAATAATAATAGTTTTATTTTTCTATTAATATTTTGGTTTGATTTGATATACATATAATTTAATAGCGTAGCATTTTTTATTTTCAAACTAAGTGGATAACAATAGTAAAAAATGAGTGAAAACAATCCCACGGACAATGCGACGGATTTAAGGTTATGTCAAGGTACGTCTCTTGTGAATATCAATTGATTGTTAGGTTTTCTCTTTTCTAATGGCCATTTATATTTCACCAAATACAGCCATGAGGGATATTAAATTATTTATTGCAAAATCTTTATTGTCACTATCCACTGTAGGTTCACAAGCTCTGGCAGACGTTACTGGTGAAGAAATTGATTATTGTGAGCGGCCTGTGATCCTTGCAGGAGATTTTAATGTGAATTTCTCGTTTCCTGAAACATTATTAACCTTCCTTAAAGACAAATTTGGATTGGAAATTTCAGTCTTTGAAATNAATTAAAAGATGCGATCAATTGTGAATTGTAAGCATTGTTAATAAAGTTTGTCTTAAAGAAACAATATGATTTCACTAAAAATCAATTTCTACCCCTTCTTATTTTCATTTCCACATTACGAAGTTTCACTTCTTCCGCGTGGAGGGATTCCATGCACTATTTTTTTTCCTCATATTGTAGCCATTCAATTTTATAATTTAAATGTAATGCAATAAGTTTTATTAATTTCCCTTGTGCAATGTGGTTTTATTTATATGTTGTTAAAATGAACTCATCTCCTGTAAGTTTCGAAATTTCTGAAGTTGAAATATTGTCTTCTTTTTCATTTTATGCATTCTTTGTTAGATCTAGTGAGAACTTAGCAGATACTACACAACTTACTTGTGCTACCAATATCCCCAACGACAGTACCGAAACCCATATTACAATAGAACCTGAAAGTGAAACGATTCGACCAAAAAATCTGGACATCACTCCTGTGAGGAGGGATACAATCGCTACCACTCCTGGCTCAGAAATTGTGACTCCTACTTCCGTCAAGGATGAACTTGAAAGCAATCGCGCTGAAAGAGGTATTGAACATAATATGCTTATTTATTATTTCTTGATTTTCAAGGTATTTGCAAATTTATTTATTTACTTTTTCCAATTTAGAATTTAGGGCAGTGAAGCTGTGCTTGGACGGCATATTTCATGAAGTTCGGCAAGGGTTCACTTATGTATCAGAAATCTTATGGAGAATTTTAGAGATACATATTATAAAGATCATTCTTCTATCTACTTTTATTCTTGCTGCTTGTGATGTAAGTGTATTTCATGACTAATTATATTATTAATCTGAATCAATTCCATATGTAAGGGATGACAGGGACAATTGTCCCTGAGCGCAGGATTGCTGAGAGCCTGGTCAAAATTCCTTGTAAAATATGTAGTGTTTTTAAATGAATTTTTACTATAAAATTGCAGAGAATTCTCTTATGTGTATAGGGGAAAATACAAAAACTATAATTTTGAAAATTAAATAACCTTTTAAAAAATTCTACTAAATTTTGAAATAGGAATTTTTGTTTTTTATTAAAAAGATCCTAAATAAATTTTGTCATTGTGTCCAGCCTGAATATGAATTCTTATTTTAATTTATGATCATAAATTCTGATCTTTAATTATTGAGTCATAGTTAATTGATTGTTATTGAATATTGTTAATTACTAGCTATTGGAGCTTAACATTCAGTTTGTCTATGACCAGACAATAAATATTTAACATTGTTACATTTAATAAGTTGTGTCAGAATGGTGCAATACATAAACAATTTTCTAAGATTTTTCGGTAAGAGATGCATTTAAGTACTTATGCAATTTTTACATTGATATTCAGAAAACGGTTAACAACGATGACGTTTAAGAGTGTTACATTTTACTAATGAGTATTTGAAAAACATAGCAAAGTAAAACTACATATGAAGGATATGAAAAACCCTTATGAAAAAGCTCCTCACATGTAGCTGAAATCGGGAATGGAATGTACAGTGCACCAAAAAAGGACCTTTTAAACTTTTGAGTAAATTTGATCTAATGATTGGATCTTTATGTTCTATGGTTTAATCTGAATTGTTCAAGGGATGACCTAAAATGTGTTAATTAATTAGTGCAGATGATGTTTTAAGTTCCGAACAAAAACTTTGGCACAAAAATGCACTTTCTCTGAATTATAATCATACCATTTTTTTAAGAATTCAGATTTCTGACCCCCAAAATATAAGGGTTAACTGCAATCTGGAAATACGGTCACAATAGTTTTTCGGGACAGCGATCCAAAGTTTGGACCCCTTAATATTAATGTTACTTTTCTTTTGCATATTTGGCCATTTTTTGAGAGTTTCTTAAGATAGAGTCCTAGAACGTGAAGATCCGATCATTAGATTAAAAGTTATTCAGGATGGTCCGTTTTTCCTTTTGTACTCTGTACACTTGAAATAATATTTTTTTTTATTTGGTTAAGGAAAATAACATGTTTAAATCACAACTTACTGAATTTCTCATTATTTCAATATATTTTGTAGAAAAATAAAATAATCTTTTTAGTTTATTATTAGTTGATAATTGGGAATTTACAAATTCAGCAACTTTAAAAATGTTTAATAGATTTATCTTATATAATCCTGCATGGAGTGTCTTATATATTATTTTTCTTGTTTCGTATGTTATAGTTCTTGGTCTTACCAGTTTATGTGCATTTTAAATGCTGCTTAACTAATTTTTTCATTAAACTTTTTTTCCTTTAAGCTTATTTTTTCATTTAGCTGGAAATTTCAGATTCTTGTCTTCTATTATTTATTTCATGAAATAATGAGACTTACTTCAAACTAATATGAAATGTTTAGCACAATTACTTTTTTTTTGGAAATTAAATTTTGAGAAATATTTATAAAGATATTTTTATTTTATCCAAAAATATTTTCAATTGTGTTCCTTTTTGAAAATACTTCACATTATACTTCATATTACTAAATTTGTGAATCTAAGACAAAATCTTTAACTGAATCATTTTTTATTCTTTTATCATAAAAACAAATGCTTTCATTTATGCTTTGGTGCAAACACAATTTTCATAATTACTCATGAGTTTCTTTTTTTCAGGTTTGTGCCATTCACTTTGCCTTTGTAGTTTTTGTTGTAATTGCCCTACCACTACCTAGTCTACAAAATTTCTTTTCACATTGTATATCAGTTTGGGCAGCTACTCTTTTGCTTTCTAAAATGATGTATCAGTTGAATATAGTTGATTACCTGAATTGGCAAACCAATTGCACAGTAAGAATTTTTCTGTTTTTAAGAGTTCAAATCTTTGTATTAATGGAAGCAAGTAAATAAAACATTTAAAAAACGAAATTTTAAAATAAGTTCATATATTTCATGCTTTATTACTAGAAAACTACTTTTTGTTTCATGACCAGCATTCTACATAAATACCAGTTAATGTAAACATTGGCTGCAATGGTGTGTAGTGAATGTTTTCTTTGGGATTTAAAGTGCAGCCATTAGTTTAGAAATCTATTTCTAAAAATCACTGTTATAAAGTTTTAGTTGAATGTTACATGACAATAATTATTTATTAATCTCAGTCACTTCTCTAAATAAATAATCAGTAGATCAGCATATATATAAAATAAAAATTATAGCACTAACAAAGGAAAATTTTCTGCTGTCAAAAACTTTTTTTTTTCTCAATAATTTTTTTTTAAATTTCAAAACAGTTCTTTTGCAATAAAACCTATGATAAAGAAATGCTACATTTCTTCTGTTGGAATTTATTAATAATTAAAAAGACTTGAAAATTATGAGGAAAATGAAACATTTATTAATTGCTAATAGTTTTACTTGATTATATTGTGAACAATTTTATTTAAATCGACTTAAAAAAAGTTGTCCTAGACAGTATTAGAAATTTCTAAAAAGAAGTTGAGTATAAATTAAAACTATCTTTAAATTTGAAATCGTTCTCTTAAAGTGCATTTTTAAGTGAAATGTGGTGATTCACATTATTTAAAAAATATCAGTAAACAATCTAGCAGTCTGGCTGCAAACTAGCAGCCAGGCTGCTAGATTGTTTACTGACCTGGCTGCAAACTAGCGGAATTACTAATAATCTGATAAGAAATGAAATTTAATGCATTTGTAAAATATAAAAGCCAGTTGAAAATGAAACATACTCATTCATTATGTTGTATGTAAAATTTATCCAAAGCAAACTTCAATCTTGAGAACCTTAATATGTTCTAAATAAAAACAATCCACATGCTAAGTTTTTGATGTTAGCAATGTAGGTGATCTTGTTTTCATTCTAAGTCTTTAATTCTAGTTCTTTAAGTCCTGACTGTTATACATATTTAAAATTTAGAGGGGTTCATAGAAGGGTTTAATCTAAGTTTTTTAAGCAAGCTTCAAAATCTATCTATATTATATAAAACGCTAATACGTACGTATGTATCAATGAAACCGATGATATTTCTTTTCTCGCGCTGGCAACAGTTTTCATTTTTAATTGATTGGATTCGGCGCGCAAGAGCACTTAGTGAGCATCATATGGCTAATCCATGTTAGATAAAACGCTAATACGTTTTAATTGATAGGCTTCGGCGCACAAGAGCACGTAGTGAGCATCATGTGTCTATCTATCTCCGATTGTCATCGAGAAAAAAACGGTTGGTTGGTTATGAGTACTGAAATAGTATTATATAAAACGCTAATACGTTTTAATTGATAGGCTTTGGTGCGCAAGAGCACGCAGTGAGCATCATATGTCTAATCGGGTGAATTCTCACTGAATTATCAAAAAAATTCTCACAAAATTATCTTAATCGAAGCTGATGCTTTACATCCGGCGCTTAGTATTATTTCATATTGTTTTACAACACATGGTTTTAGCCCTCTGGTGGGAAAGANAAATTCAAAAATACTATATCGCGATACATCGCTATATCGCGATGCAAAATTGACGATGCATCACGATATATAATTTTTAATATCGCCCAGTCCTAGTCCTGACGGTTATACATATTTAAAATTTAGAGGGGTTCATAGAAGGGTTTAATCTAAGTTTTTTAAGCAAGCTTCAAAATCTATTATTTTTTAAATTGGTACTAAATTCCTAGATGTCTAACTTATGCAATGTGTAAAATGATACTAAATAAAATAAAAAACAAAAATAAGCAAAAGAAAAAAAAATTTTTTTTTGAAAAGAGGTACTTTTAGTTTATTTATATATATATTTTTTTATCGAATTTTATTTTTGAACTGATATATTTTTTGTTTATTACCTAGTATGTGCCTTATGCAAATATGTCTAACCTTCCATATCCATTCAATACAACGATTGATAACCACGACTGGATTGGATTCAAGCGCACACTTTACTTGGCAGACTATTGCAAAGTATGTTATTTTCTCAGATATTAATCAGTTTCTAGACATGTTTTAGAAATATATAAAAGATATCTTTTAATGGAATCATTTTATTGCAATTTTTTAAAGAGAATGTTATTTTCTAGGGGTATATAGGATTAATACTAGTTTTGACTATTCAAGCTGTTGTTAAAATCAGGCAGGAAGTAAATAGGATACACACAAATGAACCTCCACCAAAACCAGGTGTTGTTTTTCCATCTACAACTAGGGCAACAGCTGACGATAATCTTGGAGAGTGCCTGAAATATCTAGTGAATTATTTTTTCTACAAATTTGGTCTAGAGGTATGTAATTTTACTTGCTTTATGTTTTTATTTTTCAAAATGGAAATTTTAATCTTCTTTTGATGCCGCTTGTAGGAAAATTAAGTGAAAATTTTTCTACTTCATAAATGATTTTTCCATTGAACGAAATTGGTTTGTTTTTAAGAAGCATGCAAGTTCAGTTGAAAATTCTGTTGACATATTTTTTTAATACACATGTAAAATTATTTTATCTTAACTCTAGGTAATATAGGCAATTGTTTATCTTGAACTCTTGCTTTAGTTGAAGCTAAAGTTAATTTGTTGTTTTTTCTTAATGTTATTCAGTTTTTTAGTTTCAAAATCATATAGTTGAGCTAGGTTAGAAATATTATAGATTTTCTTGTAGTTCTATATTTTCATTTATTAAATTTCTAGCAGCAGTAAACATGGCACTTGAGAATTAACTTTCTCTTTCAATTTTTTATTTGCAAAAGTTGCAATCAGTAACATCTAATTGTGAGAGATAAAATTGCATTCAGAATTTTCTTTTTTTGTGAGTTAACAAGATTAGACTTCTGCAAATGGTATTTCTTTTTGTTTATAAATGAATCATACATCAGTATTTATAAATATGATTTATATCAGTATTGATATATAAGCTATATATATATATATATATACTAATACCATATATCATATTTATCATATATTGAAGGTTATAAATATATGATATGCATCTAAAAAAGGCTTATAATATGTTATAAAATTAATTCATAATTGTTTACTAAAAAATAAATCACCTGAAAACCTTGTGTTATATGAAGCACAATTTTCTGAAATATATTGTTTTGGAAATGCATAGTTTTGTAAATTAATACACATAAATTTTCTTTCACAGGCTTGTTTCATTACAACTGTTGCTTGCATTGGAGTTAGACTCGATGTATTTGCCTTTTTATCTGCTGTCTGGTTAACTCTTATGTTTCTTTTGAAAAGGAAAACCTTGGCAAAAATTTGGCCGTTTTACGTATCTTATCAATGTATTGTTTTGACTATTCAGTATATAATCTGTTTGGGTCTACCTCCTGGTTTATGTGTTGGTAAGTTGTACACATTTTTAAGCTATCTTTTGCCTGCTTCTTGTCAATTTTTTTATGTACCAGGAAAATATTGTTATTCAAAATGTTTCCTCTTTTATGATTTTGATATTTTTAATGTTTGATTTAATAAATCTTTCATTTAGAGTATCCATGGTCTGAATCACTTGTTGAAGGAATGAGAGATTGGTTGTTTTTAGCTGATTTCCGCGATCCTCCTAGTACTACCAGAGTTGTAGGTATGTTATTTATAGCTTTATGTGATCAATACTTAGAGAATGCACATTATGCATTGAATAATAATAATATGTGATAAAACGTAATTAACTTGACTACATGGTGCATAGCGTTTTTAAAAAGTGCTTAAAGGTGCTATTTTCGTTTTTTAAAAGTCCTTAAGGATACTTTTTTCATTGGGTGTTTTTAAAAAGTGCTTAATTTTCTCTTTTTGAAAATGAGATTTTTTACTTTACCATATCGATTTTCGGCACATATTATGCAAAAGCGTGCTATTCATATTGTTCTATTAAATGTGTTCACAATTCATTTCGGCGTACCATCGCTCCATAGCATATAAATGCCGCAATTATTTTACATGTTTGATGAAATACTTGCGAGTCCGCATGCGCGTCTACTGAGCTGAGTTCGGTGACTAGCACTCTCATGTGCAAATCTGCTGCATTTTACTAGATATTCTCAATGTCAGGCTTCATTTTCCACCCTCATTTTTCAAAATGTAAAATCTCTCAATTTTTTTTATGATGGCTAATATAATCCTAACAAGAGTTCTTTGTCAGAAAGTAGTTATTTTAACATGATCATGTCATGCCTTTGAAAATTATTTTGCATTTTGCTGATGTATATAGTGCTCAAAAATATTTTTTGAGTGCTTAAAATGTACTTAAAAGGTGCTTATTTTTTGTTCAAAGATTTGGCTATGCACCTATGTACTAAATCTTCTCTTGAAAATATTTAAAAAAATTATTGTTTTAAATTTTTTATAAAAAGTTTTTATAAAATCTTAATTTACTCTTACATTTGTATTTATTTTTTATTTATCATGCATATATGCTTCAGGATTCTATGACTTGAATACATTGTGGATAGAGTTATTCATTCATATGTAACTTAGTTTGAAATCTATTTTTTGTTAGATTTTCTGTCCATGTAATTGTCTAAAATTATATTTTTAGAAAGTAGTTATTTGTAGGTGTTGTAAAAAAATGTTAGTCTGAAATAGCTAGTTAACCATGTTGGTCATAAGTTAAGACTTCTCAATATCAAGACTCATATCGAAGTTTGTCATTGAATTACAACTGTATCAGTATAGCTATTTTAAACTCAATGCAATACGTTGTATAATAATTTAATTTTTACTTATACTTTATTATACATAACTGAATGTAAAACTTATTTTATGCCTCTCATTATTAAATTCTTTTTTATTTAAAAAGAGTAGTTAAGATTTTCATTATTTTAAAAATGAATTAGTCATACATAAGGGTTTATTTTTATCCTCTGATAGTTTTCAAATGAGTAAATATAAGAGAACAATTTTTCTCTATACACTGTTTCCTTATCTCATGATTTTAGAGAACTGGTTTAGAAATCTGGAAAAGGCTATAGGTTTTATAATTATGTTACTGTATTAATATATTTTTCCAGTACTAAAGTCATTAGTAAAACTGTTGTTTGATTCATTTTTTTAAAAAATATTTTCAGCTGACTTTTTCCAGCTGCTCTTTAGCTGTTGTCAGTTATTTGTATTCCACATAGAAACATCACCTGTTGCCGAGCTTTACGAAGGTGGGAGCAATAAAGAAATAAACTTAGAAGTTCCTCAACCCAATCCTATTCCCGATTTTGTAACTTGCACTCAGTAAGTTGTAGTTTTACAGCATATTTTTTGTTACAAAAATATTTCATGCTTAATATTTATGAAATCATTCATTCCAAATAGTAAAAGAATAATGATAATACCAATAAATAAATAAAAAAAAAATTTTCTTTTTTATATAAAAGAGAAAGATATTATTATGCTTCTTAGCTGAGAGTTTTAATTTTAAAAAGTACGATAAATCCAGATTTTAATTGAAAACTTGGTATTACAATTTTAAAATGCTTAATCTTATGGATTTGTTGCTGGGTTATATATGATTGATATATTACACATTGTTTGTTTTTTTTAAATTTATTCTATAAATTTTTTAAAGAAAGCTGTTTTTATGGTGCTAAATTGTGTAAATTATGTATAATTTTTTTTTAATATTCAAATTCTTTTAATAAAAGTTTATTACATTTGAATTTCATTTCTAAGGTGGTTTATTCCCTTCTCTGAAGGATTTTTTTTCTTTGAATATTTGACCCTAAAAAAGAATTTTTTTATTTCTAAAAATTTTTATATGATCTATCCTAAATTCAGAAATGTAAAGTGTTTATGTCAACAAACAATTTTTTGCTTGGCCTATTGGTCTTGAAAGATGTAATATCTCATCTACTGATCTCCAGTTTTCCCTGCAATGCACCCAAGTTTTATTGTTAAAAAAAAAAAAAAAAAAAAAAAANAAAAAAAAAAAAAAAAAAAAAAAAAAAAAAAAAAAAAAAAAAACGCTGTGATAATATATTTATTAACCCTATTGCTTAAAGGTGTTTTCGATAAATATCTGCTTAAAATAATTATTAAAATTAGGAGAAAAATCTTTTGGAAAATATTTTTCCTACCTTACTGCTAAAACAGCTTCACAATCAGTCTTGGGCATCAGATTGTAAAAATCACATTTATCAGAAAAGTGTCATATTACTTTGGCATGCAACGGTAACATTGATAAACGCGAAATTACAGAAAGTACAAAATGATTTTGATTTCAATTCAAGGCGGGAAATTTCACTGTGAAAATTGTAAAAAAAGAAGGACTAGTTGCGTCATCTCTTAGCAATATTCAGAAATACAAAAATAATCGCAGGATTTAAGGAGCCGTGTATGTAGCGAGGAATTAAATTTCAATGATGTAATTTTTCTCTTCACATAGAATGTGACGCTAACAGAAAAGGAGTTAAATATGAGCTAACAAGCTTTATCACCTCTTTAAATATGCAGTTTCCGTGAATGAAAATAAAAAATATTATTTTCATTATCTTAAAACAGGTTTGTTCAATTGTTTTTCAGAACTGTATTGGATATGATAAAAGTGTTTGTGTTCTATGCTCTTTACTGGATTTCCTTGGCAATAGTTTTTGTTGCTGGCACAAGCAGAATAAATTTATTTGCTATGGGTTATGTAATAGGTTGTTTTTACTTTTTGTGGAATGGAAACGAGTTTTATTTGAAGACACGTTCAGCTTTGTTAAGAATGTAAGTAAATTTATTTATTATTAATATAAAAACATAAATAATATTTTTAATTCATAAATATTTATGAACCTTTATATCTAACATGTAATACTGCATAAATATATTAATATACTTATAAGTTATTATTTTTTTTCTCCTTAATATTTCTTTGAGCAAATTTTTATTTTTGCAGGTGGAATATTTTATTAGCATATAATGTGGCGGTTATTCTGTTGAGCTGCCTGCTGCAAGTAAGCTATGTTAATATGCTCAGAGATTATATCTGTTATTTTATTACAAAGTTATTGAAAATCTAACTAAGTTTTTATTATTTTTTTTATTTTTTTACTAAATTTCTATATTTTTTATTATTATGAGATATGTAATTATTATGTGTTATAAATTTTCGTTTTTAATATGTATTTTCTTTTACTATATTTTGTTAAAAGTTTAATTGTTAAAAATCTTTTTTTCATAACATATTTAAGAAAAATTGAACTTCAAGGATAATGGGGTAAGGTAATTCTGGCAATTCCATAATTCTTCACATAAATGATGCTCATAATCATTTCAAACTTAGTTATAATTTTACTAATTGAAAGGTTGAAATAAAGAAGCATGTAACTTTCTATTATGTACCTTACTGAAATATAGGAGTATTAAGAAAAATTTGCAATCAATTGAGAATAGTGACATTTCTTTTCTATATACCTTATTGAAACAAGCAAACATTTAAGAAATTTAACAATTAATGTGGCAGTCTTTTTCTTATGACTTCACTATTTATAATAAAACAATATAAGTATTATTTACTTACTTTCTTATGCTATTTTGCTTAGAAATAATTTAAAATTTTTAAATATCTAAAATTTTCCTATAAATGTTGTAGCTTGTTGGGTGCACATATTTTGAATTATTAAGAGATCATCAATGCTGGCTTATACAACTATTGGGAATCGCATGTCAGAGAAAAGATGGTATTCCACCAAAAAGTAAGTGTTTTTTTTAATCAGTTTCTTTTATCAATATTGTTAAGAAAGTAATTTTAGAATGCTATATAATTATCTTATTAATATTTGCTTTATAATCTAAATAATTTAATTATTTATTGAATAAGAATATAAATTTCAAACTTATGAATGAGATTTTTGTCAATTGTCTAGATTATCGAATTCACTGTTGAATCCAATACAACTGCTTTAAGAAGAGCTTAACTGCTTAAACAAAATAAATAATTTGAGGTCTCTAAAATTACTAAGATAATTTTTGTTTGAATTAGGTTTCAGTCAATTATCTTAGCCAATTATCTGTCAATTATCTTAACAGTAGAAAACACTACATAAATGTCAAGCCCTCAAAGTCAATACCATATACGTTAAAAGCATGTTTTTCTTCACTCATTCTCCAAGAAATCTTTTTGTCATTTAATTGTCTAGATTAGGTGCAGATCCTATTTATTAATTCTAACAATTGAAATTCTACTGTACTTAATGAACCAATACTTTACAGTACCTAATATATTTTTTCACTAAATGAGAAGATATGAACTAAAAAGTTTCATATTTTTTTTATTTTTAATAATGCAAACAGTACTTGTTTTAATACGTTAATTTAAATGCTTTTAACAAAAATGAAAATAGATTGCTAATACTTTTTTTGCTACCTTAAAAGTGTCTTAATTAAATTTTACTGAATCAAGCGGAAATAATTAAATAATTTTATGATATGCGTGTAATATTGTTGAAATATTTATGTATTCTAATGTAGCTACTGAAGACTGCATTTTTGAGTCTGATCCAGGATTGGTGTATGACATCATTTGTTTTGCATTCTTGCTTTTCCAACGACGTCTTTTCTCTAGCTACTATTTCCAACATGTTGTGAACGAAGTGAAAGCTCAACAAGTTTTATCATCCAGGTATTTATTTGAAATTTAGTTTTATATAGGTTATATCTGTTAAAAATACAGCTATATATAAAAAAATGTGTTTGACTATTTGAAAGACTTTAAGGAACATAGTGATAAGTCATTTTCCCTGCTTCCAAAGGTTAACTTTAATTAAACTGTTCTTTAGTCTTTTCAAAATTTCCATTTGATGGCAAACACAGTATGCAAAAACATCTTATTGCTAACATAGAAGTCTTGGTGTTTTTCCCTAAAAAATGCTCCACTGAACAACTTGAAAAATCTGGTTTATTATTATATTAACACCAAAACCTTTAATTTATATCTCTTTAATCATTGTTTTTTTTAATTTCATTATTTTTTATTTAAATGTTTTTTATTTCCTTGATTTTTTATTATAATACAGAGAAGGAAATATTCATAATGCAAACCTTAATACATGAGTCTTTGCAGCATTGTAGTTAGTTTCATTAACTTTTCTTATTGTACTGAACAGAGAAAAATTCAGTTTCTGTCAATAAAAAATAATTTTTGTAGCTTAATTAATTCATAAATTTGTGAAAAGAATCTGGATTTAAAAAGATTATTTTTAATATTTGATGTTATATTTAAAGAAAGAAATGTAGATTTTGCTTTTTCATTGAAGGGGTGCTGAACTTATTCATGAAATTCAAATGAAAGAAGTCCAAGAACAGCAAGTCAATGAGAAAGAAATTATGGAAAGAATTAAAAAGAAAATGGATCGAATCAGGGCATACCAACAGAAAATACGCGGTGGAGAAAATATGGAACCAGAAACTCACTTTCAAGGTAATAAAAGATATTCTTTTCGGCAATTAGTAACTACAATTCTTAAATGTTTTTTCGTAACTAATCATGATTGTTATTGTATTCTTTTTTTTTTATGAAACAAAATTTTTCTGATCTTTTTTGAAAATATTTATTACATGAATTATTAAAACTTATTGAAAAGAAAAAGGTTTATTTAATGGTAAAACTTTTTATCAAGTTTTTTTTCTTAAAATTAATATAATTTTTTATGATATATTTAAATGTATTTTAAATAAATATTATTTATCAATTTAAAGTGCCCAATGACAGTGACTGTAAGCTGCATTGGCCAATTTTAGTATCGTTTAATTTTTGTAGCAATCTTTAAAAAATAATTTTTGAAACATATTGTAAATTTGTACTTAATTTATTGATAACTTCTAGCTTGATGTATACATTTTACATACAACAGATTTTCAACATAATATACAGTCACTAATGATCATTTTAGTGTTGAATTTCAACCAGTTTTTAAAATCGGATTTTTGTGCTTTGGTTGACTTTTGTTTTATTCTTAAAGTATATTATAATATTTTCACACAGAAAGCTTTTTTACCAAAGAAACTGGATGCCATGAATATATCGCTTTAAATGTCTACTTTGATATGCTGAACTGTCGTCTTAAAGGTATTTTATTCAGCATGAGATTTAAGCGTCGTATCTAATCATGTGTCATTATTGACTAACAATGCTATCAGTGTGTCGTTTCCTTTCACAACTTTTAATCCTTTAAGTNCTTTATGTGATCAATACTTAGAGAATGCACATTATGCATTGAATAATAATAATATGTGATAAAACGTAATTAACTAGACTACATGGTGCGTAGCGTTTTTAAAAAGTGCTTAAAGGTGCTATTTTCGTTTTTTAAAAGCCCTTAAGGATACTTTTTTCATTGGGTATTTTTAAAAAGTGCTTAATTTTCTCTTTTTGAAAATGTGATTTTTTACTTTACCATATCGATTTTCGGCACATATTATGCAAAAGCGTGCTATTCATATTGTTCTATTAAATGTGTTCACAATTCATTTCGGCGTACCATCGCTCCATAGCATATAAATGCCGCAATTATTTTACATGTTTGATGAAATACTTGCGAGTCCGCATGCGCGTCTACTGAGCTGAGTTCGGTGACTAGCACTCTCATGTGCAAATCTGCTGCATTTTACTAGATATTCTCAATGTCAGGCTTCATTTTCCACCCTCATTTTTCAAAATGTAAAATCTCTCAATTTTTTTATGATGGCTAATATAATCCTAACAAGAGTTCTTTGTCAGAAAGTAGTTATTTTAACATGATCATGTCATGCCTTTGAAAATTATTTTGCATTTTGCTGATGTATATAGTGCTCAAAAATATTTTTTGAGTGCTTAAAATGTACTTAAAAGGTGCTTATTTTTTGTTCAAAGATTTGGCTATTCACCCATGTACTAAATCTTCTCTTGAAAATATTTAAAAAAATTATTGTTTTAAATTTTTTATAAAAAGTTTTTATAAAATCTTAATTTACTCTTACATTTGTATTTATTTTTTATTTATCATGCATATATGCTTCAGGATTCTATGACTTGAATACATTGTGGATAGAGTTATTCATTCATATGTAACTTAGTTTGAAATCTATTTTTTGTTAGATTTTCTGTCCATGTAATTGTCTAAAATTATATTTTTAGAAAGTAGTTATTTGTAGGTGTTGTAAAAAAATGTTAGTCTGAAATAGCTAGTTAACCATGTTGGTCATAAGTTAAGACTTCTCAATATCAAGACTCATATCGAAGTTTGTCATTGAATTACAACTGTATCAGTATAGCTATTTTAAACTCAATGCAATACGTTGTATAATAATTTAATTTTTACTTATACTTTATTATACATAACTGAATGTAAAACTTATTTTATGCCTCTCATTATTAAATTCTTTTTTATTTAAAAAGAGTAGTTAAGATTTTCATTATTTTAAAAATGAATTAGTCATACATAAGGGTTTATTTTTATCCTCTGATAGTTTTCAAATGAGTAAATATAAGAGAACAATTTTTCTCTATACACTGTTTCCTTATCTCATGATTTTAGAGAACTGGTTTAGAAATCTGGAAAAGGCTATAGGTTTTATAATTATGTTACTGTATTAATATATTTTTCCAGTACTAAAGTCATTAGTAAAACTGTTGTTTGATTCATTTTTTTAAAAAATATTTTCAGCTGACTTTTTCCAGCTGCTCTTTAGCTGTTGTCAGTTATTTGTATTCCACATAGAAACATCACCTGTTGCCGAGCTTTACGAAGGTGGGAGCAATAAAGAAATAAACTTAGAAGTTCCTCAACCCAATCCTATTCCCGATTTTGTAACTTGCACTCAGTAAGTTGTAGTTTTACAGCATATTTTTTGTTACAAAAATATTTCATGCTTAATATTTATGAAATCATTCATTCCAAATAGTAAAAGAATAATGATAATACCAATAAATAAATGAAATTTTTTTTTCTTTTTAATATAAAAGAGAAAGATATTATTATGCTTTTTAGCTGAGAGTTTTAATTTTAAAAAGTGTGATAAATCCAGATTTTAATTGAAAACTTGGTATTACAATTTTAAAATGCGTAATCTTATCGATTTGTTGCTGGGTTATATATGATTGATATATTACACATTGTTTGTTTTTTTAATTTATTCTATAAATTTTTTAAATAAAGCTGTTTTTATGGTGCTAAGTTGTGTAAATTATGTATACAATCTTTTTTTTTAATATTCAAATTAATTTAATAAAAGTTTATTACATTTGAATTTCATTTCTAAAGTGGTTTATTCCCTTCTCTGATGGATTTTTTTTCTTTGAATTTTTGACCCTAAAAAAGAATTTTTTTTATTTCTAAAAATTTTTATATGATGTATCCTAAATTCAGAAATGTAAAGTGTTTATGTCAACAAACAATTTTTTGCTTGACCTATTGGTCTTGAAAGATGTGATATCTCCTCCACTGATCTCCAGTTTTCCCTGCAATGCACCTAAGTTTTATTGTAAAAAAAAAAAAAAAAGCACTGTGATAATATGTTTATTAACCCTATTGCTTAAAGGTGTTTTCGATAAATATCTGCGTAAAATAATTATTAAAATTAGGAGAAAAATCTTTTGGAAAATATTTTTACTACCTTACAGTTAAAACAGCTTCTCAATCAGTCTTAGGCATCAGATTGTGAAAATCACATTTATCTGAAAACTATCATTCTACTTTGACATGCAACGGTAACACTAATAAAAGCGAAATTACAGAAAGTACAAGATGATTTTGATTTCAACTCAAGGCGGGAAATTTCACTGTGAAAATTGTGAAAAAAAAGTGGACTAGTTACATTATCTCTTAGTAATATTCAGAAATACAAAAATAATTGCAGGATTTAAAGTGCCGTATAAGTAGCGAGGAATTAAATTTCATTGACGCAATTTTTCTCTTCACATGGGATGCAACGCTGACAGAGAAGGGGTTAAATACCAGTTAACAAGCTTTATCAACTCTTTAAATGTGCAATTTCCTTAAATAAAAAAAAATTATTTTTATTATCTTAAAACAGGTTTATTAAATTGTTTTTCAGAACTGTATTGGATATGATAAAAGTGTTTGTGTTCTATGCTCTTTACTGGATTTCCTTGGCAATAGTTTTTGTTGCTGGCACAAGCAGAATAAATTTATTTGCTATGGGCTATGTAATAGGATGTTTTTACTTTTTGTGGAATGGAAACGAGTTTTATTTGAAAACACGTTCAGCTTTGTTAAGAATGTAAGTAAATTTATTTATTATTAATATAAAAACATAAATAACATTTTTAATTCATAAATATTTATGTACCTTTATATCTAAAATGTAATACTGTTTAAATATCTTAATGTACTTATAAGTTTTTTTTTCTTCATAATATTTCTTTGAGCAAATTTTTATTTTTGCAGGTGGAATATTTTATTAGCATATAATGTGGCAGTTATTCTCCTAAGCTGCCTGCTGCAAGTAAGCTATGTTTTTATGTTCAGAGATTGTATCTGTTATTTTATTACAATGTTATTAAAAATCTATTATTATCTAAGTTATTAAAGTTTTTATTAGTTTTAATTATTTTACTAATCTTCTATATTTTTTATTATAATGAAAATATGTAATTATTATGTTTTATAAATTTTCGTTTTTAATATGTATTTTCTTTTACTATATTTTGTTAAAAGTAAAATTGTTAAGAAGCTTTTCTTTTTATAACAAATCTTTTTAAAAAAATTAAACTTCAAGGCTAAAGTGATAAGGTAATTCTGGTAATTCCATAATTCTTTACCTAAATGATGCTCATAATCAATTCAAACTTAGTTATAATTTTACTATTTGAAAGGTTGAAAAAAAGAAGCACGTAACTTTCTATTATGTACCTTACTGAAACATAGGAGTATTAAGAAAAATTTGCAATCAATTAAGAATAGTGACATTCCTTTTCTATATACCTTATTGAAACAAGCAAGCATTTAGGAAAATTATCTAACAATTAATGTGGCAATCTTTTTCTTATAACTTCACTATTTATATTAAAAAAATATAGGTATTATTTACTTGGTTCCTTATGCTATTTTGCTTAGAAGTAATTTAATACTTTAAAATATCTAAAATTTTTCTACAAATGTTGTAGCTTGTTGGGTGCACATATTTTGAATTATTAAGAGATCATCAATGCTGGCTTATACAACTATTGGGAATCGCATGTCAGAGAAAAGATGGTATTCCTCCAAAAAGTTAGTGTTTTTTTGATAAGTTTCTTTCTAATATTTCATCAATATTGTTAAGAAATTAATTATAGAATGCTATGTAATTATCTTATTAATATTTGCTTTTTAATCTAAATAATTTAATCATTTATTGAACAAGAATATAAATTCCAAACTTATGAATAAGATTTTTGTCAATTGTCTAGATTATCCAATTCACTGTCCAATACATCTGCTT